TATATATATATGTCCTTGTACGGAGGGTATGAAAAAAACAAACTAATTGCCGATACAACAAGAATGCACGAGTCAACACAGAAATATAATCGTTTTGAGATGGAATAAAAAATATTGAAGCCACCAAGAGTATATCTTCTCTTTTGTATCGCAAGAGATGTGTACATATTTATATCATTGACAAATAGACGATTCAATACATGTATTTCATTGTAGGCAAATCCTTGAGAAGCAATTAAAAATAATATAGTTCGCCCCCCATACAATATACAATATTGTATTGTTAACCATCTGGTCAAAGATTTCTAAAAAATATTTGTCCCATACCCTTGTTGAATATATATATATATATATATATATAATATTTATTCAACAAGAGTAAAAATATTTGTCCCATACCCTTGTTGAATATATATATAAAATATATATAATATATAATATATATATTCAACAAGAGTATGGGACAAATATTTTTTAGAAATCTATATATATAATATATATATATATATATTCAACAAGGGTATGGGACAAATATTTTTTAGAAATCTTTGACCAGATGGTGAACAATATATATATACATATGGAGGGACGTACCAATCAGAGTGTACTTGCCCTTGACAGGTTCAAACGGGGGCGTCACTGGCCAATCGTTTTCTGTTTTCGCGGTAAATTTGGACACAAACAGCTGCTTGGCCGCGTCTTTCGTGAACGGCCCATGGAGTTTGCGCTGCACGAGGATGACATGGAGAGTCTGGTTGATCGGGAATGGAGCGCGTACCTGGGGGTTCTTGGCTCCGACGCGGCCCCACCTAAAGAACACGTACGCTCGATGCCCGTCGTCGTTGTCGATGATGATCTGAAACGAGTAAAACTTGTTGTGTCTACGATCGGCATAAGAACGAGACTGGAGGATCCGTGGAAGAGCAGGTAGATAGGTACCCTTTGACGCCGTACGACACGTCCGTTTGATTGAGCATCACAGACCACACGACATCATCTTCCTATTCGTGGAGAAGGACGAGGTTCCTCGATGTGACGCGAGTGGTGGTTACAGGTAGGTACCTGCAACACTGTGCCCTTGTCTTCCAAGCCAGAAAGTGGATCTACCACACCCTACGCATCATGAATGGATGGTTATGGATCACATGGAGGTCAATGGCGGCGGATGCATTCATGCCTTGCCGCGGCGGAGCAGGCGGCTGGTCATTTTGGTGAGGGTGTCGTCTTGGGAATGATGGCGCTGCCCTTTGGTTTTCGGGTCATCTTCGAACTTCGATTTGTGTAGTTGATATTTGTGTCAAACCTTATAATAGTGCGTATTTCATTTATTTCTCTTTCGAATGGATGAAATATCTTGAGATAGTATATACTAAGTACGTAGTAGTACTTCATACTATTTCATGTATTTACCTTTCGAATAGATGAAATATAATACTACGATTAGTAGTATTAATAATACTAATAGGACGATGCTGTGCAGTATGTACTAGTACTACGTAGTACCAAAAGGTACTTATTAATAGTATTAAAACTATACTGCATCCCTAGTATTACAATTATTAATACCGAAGAATTGTTGACATACCCGTACTGTACTTCGAAATATTGTCCAAAACACAATCACTCACAGTTCAAGCACCATCACTCTCTCTTCATTCTACCATTGCTCACAACGATCCAGTATAATAGGAACAGTACCAGTTATGGTGCATTTCATCCAGGCCTCCTAAAATTGTCGCTTACGACAAAATAAACAAATTAGTCTATTTTGTCGTCCTCGCCAGTGTTAGTTTGTCGTCTTACACATAAAGACGGTTTAAGGTGCCAAAAAGGTCTTATTTACTGTTAAGGCACAAAAAGGGATCATCGTGATATTTATACTACCAGCATCATCGCTTCAGCTTGGCCAGGGACAGATATATCCGTGCGATTCTCGTCCATCTCCCATTTTAGGATGGAGATATCGCTCGCGTCAGCGACGGTATTGGCGTAGCACTTCCTGGAAAATGAACAATCGAGTGGTCCAAGATGGGCATAGAATCAAGCGACTGGTCGTTGGACTCGCCCTGGTCCACGATCACGACGTCGAGCATGTCTGTCACCGTGCCGACCTGCGCGTAGATGTGCGACTCCTACTGCGCGATGTGCAGGGACCGGCTGTGCAGAATGGCGAACGTAATTTTGACGACATCGAAGATCACGGCGATGCTTAACGTCATGAGCCACCATTCCCAGGTCGCGTGTTGTTCGGACGTCTCTCAACGCAGAACTCCTTCGGCTCCAGGTGGTAGCTCTTTTGGAACGTGAGTGGGCGGCCGTGGTGGGTCCACTGATTTGTCTCCTTGGGACACTGATGTTCATGCGCTTTATAAGATTGGTCTCCTGATATATGAAGATCGCGAAGGCCCGATGAATTTGATTCACGTACCATCCGCCACGTACTCGGCGGCCTGCTTGACGACTAGGTCGTTTTGGTGCAGCGCGCACCAAAGAAAGTGTTCGCCTTCTTATTAACCGGCATGGGGTTGCTTGTGCTGTGTAAGGCCCGTGGAATGGCGTCCTCAAACTGTGAGAAGGCGGATTAGAGCTTCCTCTGCTGAATTAAAAATAACCTTAATTTGTCGTCCCACCCAAACTTAATTTGTCGCTTTCTTGCGTATTTTATAGCAAAACGACAAATTTAGGAGGCTTGATTTCATCTAAAGACAACAACAAAATGCCTTGTCTTTCGACATCTATTTCAACTTTATATTGATATGTTTAGGGAATATAAGCCGTAATAACGATAGAACTGGACATGCCCAACAGAAGTTACGGTTCAGATTTTAAAATCTGATCCTATTTAAAAAGGTTATTCGATTGGTGAAAAATTGATCGAGTAATAGAATTTCAACCAACCGGCCTTCTTTTATGGAAATATATGGAGCCAGGCACATTTATTAGCCGAAAAAGAGGATCATGTATATATATATATATTGGTCTTTGTATAACGTTACATCCCCTTATCCCAACGAACGCTTCCATTGTATCCGGATAATTCAGGACGTTTAACTAATAACTCAGAGTACAGTACCATATAAACAACGTAACTAGTAATGATTTAACGTCAACATTTCGTGGGTTGAACTGAATAGTGTGGTCATCCGGATGATATGTCTCGCACCGGATAATCTGGCGTGATCCCAAATCAACATTCGCGAGACTGCGTCTGAAGGATGTCCTTGCTGGCAGCTCCACCTGTAGCGGAGACCGCTCTGGTGGTGTCCAGTGGCGCCCCCCCACAGAAAGAGGAGCTTCCAGTAGACCTCATGCAGGTCCCATCCATCCCGCTTCAAAAGACGTTGCTGTTACTGACCAACTTTTGCACTAACACCGTCCGCTTCATCAACCACTTCTCCAGTCTCTGCGAAGAACGACTGGCGACTACGTCCAAGAATCTCACGCGACTTGAGATCTCCCTCGCTATCTTGGAGGCCAAGCTCAATAGTATTCCCGATCTCCCTTCCACCGTCACACCAGCAGTCGACCTTCCTGCGGACCTCAACCTGCCTCCAACAGGTACACACACCTTTGCCAATAGCATGATAAGTATCTCATGCACGCACTAGATGCAGCTCCAGCGCCACCTCCGCCTCCTCCACCGGGCCCGGCACCAGACACCACGTCCTCTTCCGTCGGCCCGCCGCCGCCCCCACCACCGCCGACGTCGTCCGACTCGCCGCCGCCTCCTCCACCTGCCGCCGAAGTGGCGCTGCTGAAGCTCAAAGACGACCCCATGTTTACCACGTATTTCACCATGCAGCGCTTGGGCATGCCACATCTGGCCATTCGCCAAAAGATGATTATGGACGGAATGGACCCAGCAGTGTTGAGGTAGTCCCCGCCTCCTTTATGTCGTTTCTCTCAATTATATCCGTTCTTTCCATGTCCTTAGTATGGACCCCGAAGGGCCTTCACCTTCTGCCACGAGTTTGGTGCTGGCGGCACCCCCTTCCGACCCAACCAGCGATAATTCGACTGCGCTGGCCTTGGTGGCACCTCCGCCGTTCCTTCCTTCAACTACTCCGGAGCTTGATCTTCCCCCGCTGTCGTCATCCCCGCCACCGCCGCCGCCGCCGCCTCCTTCCTCGGGGCTGCCACCTCTTCCCGTCGAAGGGGGTATCGGCCTGCCGCCCCCTCCACCAAGCGCCCCAGCTGCAGAACCGGCGCCTCTAGCCCCTTCACCCTCCTTTCTAAAACTCAAAGACGATCCCATGTTTGAAAAGTACTTCAAAATGCTAAAACTTGGCATGCCAGAAGGGGTCGTTCGCCACAAACTCGCCATGGACGGCATCACACTCGATATCCTCAGGTACGAATTTGCCTGCAACTTGCGATATCATTCCAATTTTGTGATGCAAATCGACGATATATGTCGAATATAGTATTATATAATAACCATTTCTCTTGTGATTTCTAGCATGGACCCAGAAAGTCCGTCTCCCAATGGTGGTACCGCCGCTCCTGTCGCCGCCGCTGACGACGACGACGACGACTTTTAGTTACTAGTCTGTCGACAAGTTATGATCAACTAGTAGTACTAGATGATTGCTTCGATAGACCCACGACGACGCTACTGCTGTATGAACGAAGTGATAATTCAAATAATGTTGTTCCTTAATAATATTAGCCGTGTGTGTACATGTTAAACGGGATCGTCGAGCCGTGAAAACATATCTGCGCTGATCCGTTTCATGCGTGTGATATTCCTGGCCTTGGCCTGCGACATGTTGAGGATAAAGTCGTCGTCGAGCACCGAATCGAACAGCATCGCAGGTTTCTTCTTGGCCGCGTCGGCGTCGCTCACCTTGTTGGGCTGTTTCCGCCGCATAGCTAGGTCGATAAACCGCAGCATGGCCGAGAGCCCGGGGGTGCCAGACGACTCTGGGCTTTCGTCCTTCTTCATCAGTTTCGACATCTTTTGCATATTGATGGCCGTCTGCTGCCGCGAGTCGGCGATTTTCTTGAGCGCAATGTGAAACTGCGGAAAGCTGTGGATGATGGCGTTGAAGTCGTCTTTCCGGATCATCTCGAGCTCGCAAAAGAGCGCCGCGCGGACGTTGGCCGACCGCGGTTCGTTGGTCAAGAGCGAAATCTCTCCGAAATATGACCCCGCCCCCAGAACCCCCAGCTGCACCTTGTTCTTCTTGACCGCAATGTCCACCTCCACACTTCCGGAATTGATAAAGTAAAACTCCTCGCCCTAACCGAGTTTTCATAGTTACATTGATTTGTCCATCAAACAGGCCGAATTGCTGCATATATATATATATATATATATAGTCGACGTACTGGCTCGCCTTCGCGTATGATCAAGTCTTTGGGCATGGCCACGACACTCTCCATGCACTGGACGATGGCGATGGTGCCACCCGGTGACAATGCCTTGAACAGCGGCACTTTGTTGATAAAGTCACGATGAAGTGATAACGTCAGCTGCAATTTGAGTCGATCGGGCAAATCCACAAACAGCTGGCTCGACTGTTCACTTGGCCGAACTGTCCACACGTAATCGTAGTAGTGTCGGATCTTGTCTTGGAGTATCAATGGCACCTACACAACAATATGCACGACCCCACTATGAAAAACTAGGCAATACTCATCACTATGTGGAGCTAACACTACCTTTTTGAAGCGAAGGTAGTCGTTGATGGCGTCCAAGTGCTCCTTGCGGGCCACTTCGGTCTTGTCTAGGTTGGCAAGCAAGTTGGCCGCGGAACCGATGATTGTGGCATTGATGGCGATCCCCAGCAGCAGCATGAGCCCAGTGAAGATGCGCTCGAGCGTGGTCTTGGGCTGCAGATCGTTGGCGGTAGTGACCATGATCGCAAAGTAGAAGCACCCGACGTATTTGTCGCTGAGGTCGGTCGTGTCCAAATTGAACGGTGGCTGCCACGTGTCGTCGGAAATGCCTTCGTACGACACGACAAAAAAATACATGCATGCGATAAAGTGCTGGCACAGCAGGAAGATGAGCAGCAGTTTCAGCATGCGCAGCATCGCAGGGTTCATCTTGCGAGACACATACGCTGTCAAGCTGACAAACAGCGGCGACTTGGACAAGTGAAACACGCGAAAGATCTTGAGAATGCGGAGAAACTTGAGCGCTTGCACCGAACTATTTTGGTCGTGCGTGTTGAACCACGACACCTACGTTACCACGTCACATAGATTTCACATAGACGACAACGGGGGGGGGGACGTACGGGGTAGCTGCTGGCGGCATCGGGGACGAACCACCCGTACATGTAATGCCGCCGGATCAGGGCGGCGTCGTTGATCTCTTCCCGTGTCGCAGAGTCAATGTATGACGTACGGAATGTCAGCACCAGCTCGACAATGAACATGGCGTCCACAAATACCTATACACATATAGCATTTGCATGTGTTTGTTTTGAGCATGTTGATTCTCGTCGAGTAATGTCGAACAAGATATTGCCAATGTGGTCGTCGAGATGTCTGGGGTACCTACCTGGATGTTGTCCAGCGTCTGGTAGTCTTTGAGCCCAAACCCGACTTGGACGGGGGTCACGATCACCACGTACACGGTGAGAAAGGCCACGGCCACATCCCACCACAGTTTGAACTTGGAGTTGAGCGAAATGACAAACCCGTGGTTCTGCTTCTGCACCATCTTGGCGATCTGGTCAGCCGACATCCCGTTCAGCTCTTGTTCGAGCAGCTCTGCTATTCGGTTGGTGTTTTCTGTGCCCGCGTTTTTCCGGGCTTCGAATACCCCCTTCATGATCGCGGTCGGCTTGTCGCTGCCTCGCTTGGCCGCCACCTCTGCCATCGTCGTCGGCGCTAGTGGTGACGATACTGCTCGTGCGTGTCGTCAACTCCAACCGCCCGCACCACCGTCCGTCCGTCGCCACTACTAGCCGAGGGGAACTTGGGGGAACGTTGGGGGTTTTAACTGGCGCTGGTCTCGACGACGCTAAAATTAGACACCCCTTGAGTTTTTGTAGTTTTGTGGGAGTTACTGTCGGTTCCAAAGGTCCAAAGGACATCCATCAATCAATGGGGGGGGGATGACACTCGAATTGGAGAACGGTGTACAGCCATGTTGACCTCGCTATAGTCTGCGATACTGCACGTCCAAGCTCGGTTTGTGCGGCTGCTTGTTATGTACAGTATCGCAACTTGTACCCGCCCAGGTGTACATCATCATATGTATGTAAGCAGCAGTAGATACATATGTGCTATCATGCGAGTACATCAAGTAGCGGATCCAGTGTACTGCATCGTCACGTGACACTTAAGTAACAGACCACCCCCCCCCCATCGAAATATGACAAATCACGGATTCTTCATATGGACGCTATATTTATTACAATGACTTTTGAAACTGTACTACGTCAAACTGACAGATCGGGCGGGAGTTAGTCGTCATCTGACGAGTCTGCATCTAGTTCCTCATAGGACGAGTCGTCGGCCGTCCGCTTCACAACGCGCACCTTCATACTACCTCTGGGGGTCAGCACCCCTTCCAGCCGTCGCGCGCCAGTCGTTTGGATGCTCTGCCGAACTGTCCTTGGGTCCCCATATTCGTCCATCTAGTACAACACACACAAGTACTAGTAGTACTAGTAGTGCTAGTACCAGCACGGACGATACCTCGTGTGCCCCAGACTTTGTGGATTGAAAAGTAGATCGAGAAGGGTGATGATGTTGTCGAGTGTATTTTTGGTTCAAGAGGCGGCCGTTGTACGCGTCCAGCTTATCGCGATGAGATGACGGCACGGTTTGCAAAAGGACCGCCGCGTCTGATTCGTCCGAGTCATCTGCGACGTGGTGACGACGTTTGAACTTGCGGATGGATTTCGGTGTCGATAGCCTCGACGACGTCGACGGTGTGACGTGGTAAGTGGGAGGGGACACACACACGTCGTCACCGCCATCGTTTGCCGCTTCGTACTGCAATACATCAAAAGAGGTCCACCTCATATACTATGATCGATAGATAGCTAATACACTAGTACTTTACCTCGACCACGAATTGGCGCACTTGCTTCTTGAACCGCTGGGTGCCGGCCCTGGACAACTGGGACTTGTTGAGTTTCATAGACTTGGTCGGTGGTCGTGGTCGTGTGAACGTCGACTCGACGCTTTCAAACTGCTTGGTTTGGCACTGTATCGCAGATTTACCGTCGACCCATTTTGCAATCTATACAATTTAATAATATATGGGTTTAGACGATACATACAAACATATAGTACTATCTACCTTGGTCCAGTACTTGGGATCTTTAGGGTCAACTTTGTGAATCGCTTGCTTCAAGCTTGATACTTGGTCCGTTGTCCAGTGATCAGCAGCAGTCGTAGCACAGTCCTCCCTATCCCAACAAATCCCCCATACTCAGTCAGTTCCTCTTTCAATCACTCCATTTAGTATACTCTGTGGCCTTCCACCATGCTTTGACTGGCGACGTGACGCGTCCGCTTCGTGTAGTTTTCCCCTACATATCACGAATATCAAAATATGACAACGTACGAGCGTATATATATATGGCCTATTAAATACCTGAAGAACGACCTCTGGCTTGGATGGGACCGCCTAAACAAGAATAGCATGCATCACATTGTCGTATATATTGTCAGAAGTCGCCGCCAATGTATGTGCATACCTTGGACACAGCCGGTTTTACCTTGACCAGTGTCTTGTCATCGGACGAAGAGTACTACAACGGATATGAGGCAAGCCAATATACCGACTAGATCGTACAAAAGTGTCCACTGGCGGCGCCACCTCCAATTCGACAGTTTTCTGTTTCTATCGACGAGTTGTCAAATACTAGCAACATTGTGATATCTACTTGTTTATATTCTAAACTGGTAAACTGGAGGAATATGCATCGATACAACCAGATAAGTGTAATACATAGTATTGAGCCAATCAGATGGATGGACACCACCATCAGTAACACATTGAATTAGTGTCAACATTTAATTAGTGTATGACTTGAATTCGTCACCACCAGACAACTTTTAGGCCAAAGGACTATTTATTTAGTCAAATCGATTCGAAACGGGAGCCTTCAACAGAATAGTCGAATATCTTAGATGAAACAACCTCCTAAACCAATCAAATCACGTCCTGTCGTATATATTCTGCCAATCCAAACTCTTTATTCCCTCGGCATGTTGGGCAAAACCATATATATATATATATACTACTAATCTTTGTATAGTATATATATAGTTTGTACAAGCTTAAATGGGCACAAATAGATTCGAATGCTACTAGTAGCAAAATGACTCACACACAAGTCTAATCTGGGGTGTAAAAGACACTAAATATACCGATGGTTTGGACGCCGTTTTCCGGTTGATCTGTCGACGGGGAAGCGACGACGGAGGAGGTGCGGGCGGCCTGCTTGAACCAACAACAGTCACATCCTCATACAACAATCTGTATATAATAGTATGTACCTCTGAAGGCGTTCGAGTTTGCTAGCGCTCGCGGGCGTCACATCGTCCTCGTCGTCGTCGTCGTCGCTTTGAGGTCGAAACATGTGAAAAAGGGAAAACCCAGCAGACATTTGGGCGGGTTGATGAATCGACTTGATTTTGACATCGCCGAGGACAGATCGGAACATGTGCACCCAGTCGGACGGGATGCCATGGCTGAACTGGTGGGCCACTTTGGCCGGCAGTTTCGGTGTTGGCACCATCCGACCCACGAGCGACACGTCCTGTGACGTGGTTTGCGACACAAACAACCGCGGACGCCGGATACGCTCGACCACATGCGACTCCCACTCGCCCTGGCTCACTTGGCCCCGCACCACCTGCGCGCGATTCATACCATGGTATGTGTATATCAGTCGTCCAATCGATTCTCTCAAACAGCATCACTAAACCCACCAGTTGCAACGATGGGCCATCCGACGGCGGCGGCCACACGACTGTCCACTTGCGCAGCGCCAGCACCCGTCGACGACTGCCGCCGCCTTCTTCTCCTTGGACGGGTTTTCCCGCCGCCGCCGACAGAGTAGTCGATGGACTGGGGGAACGAGACGTGTCGATGCTGCTGCTGCCTTCTTCGTCATCTAGTTCGCATGACATGACATATCCTTTGAAGTTACAATAGAGTGGACATGGGATCAAGTACCGTCTGAATCGTCAAATGATAAACACTTGGCGAGGGATGTGGGGCTGTCTGCCTCCCGCCTTCGCTTTCGAGTCGCCACGTTGTCACAGGTACGACGAGTGTTGGTTTTTGTATATGGTTTTGCTGTTAACGATCGACGTGAGGCTGCTGATTGGGTAGCTTTCTGGGGTATGACGTCGTCTGACTTGTCGCGTGCTTGGTCAAGATGGGAGTGGACGGGGGGCGGCGGCAATGTCTCGGCTAGGTGGACACGGCTGATTTGGGGGTTTATGGGGCTCGTTTGGTTGGGTGGCTTGTGTGGTGGTGGCGACGGCTTGGCGGCCGATGATTGCGTGCGACGCTTCACGGTGGGTACTACTACTACCAATATAAGACACCATCTCTCTCAAACTCCACATATTATAATCGATTCGAATTTCGGTGCTGTCAGTCGAATATATGAGCACAACCAAATCGACAGACAATCGACGACTGACCAATCAAAAGCCACAACAACACGTTCAAGTGGCCAATAATCAAATCGATAGACAATCGAAAATAGCATGGGAATGACTACTGTACGCTATCCAAGTGAACTATATAAGTCACTCAGCATACCACATACATCAAAGATTTTCACTAAGTCTTTCAACAATTCGCTACTTCAAATCAATTTCATACAGTCGACCAAGGGTATTTCGATTTGGTGAATCAGCCCAAACAAGTATCCACATTTTGGTTCAATATCATGGAGCAGCTTGAACTGCGCACCTGTCTCTACAGTCGAATTGCCCACGGAGGCGGCTCCTTGGCGCTGTTTCTTGGCGGATATGGGGCCTTTGGCTTGTACTAGGCCTCGTTTCTGCTTCTTGGACGACCCCGCCGCCGCCATCTGTCTGGGAGTACCAGCAGCAGTATCCGCTGTATGTGACGCTGGTTTGTTTGTAGGTTGTGGATGTCGTTGCGGGGTGTTGGTACTTCGTGTCACTATGTTCGTGGATATTGGAGGGGGTGCGGAGGACGACGAGTCGGTGAGGTCGACCACGGGTACGTTGCTCGTAGCAGTCGAGGCGCCATGGGAAGAAGAAGTTGACACCGTCTGGCTGTCTGAAGTAGTCGAGGAAGGCGGCGGGGCTAACAACGTCACTAACGAGCGCTTGGATGGCGTAGTGTGTCGAGCTTTCACTTCGTCAGTACCAGGAGCCCCAGTCGCTTTCCGGTCGTGGGTGTCGAGGGTACTCGGCTCGGAAGGTGGAATGGGTGGTATGGACGGTACCGTCGAAGCGGTCGGTCGTCGGGGGGAGGGTTGGGACCGTTTAGGGGGTGGAGATGGCTGCTGTGGGGATGAACGCACCGGGGGGATGTTTCGCACTGGCGCGGACTTCATGCTGGCCGGAGCTGCCTGAGCAGGGATGTGCGGTGGAATGGGCGGGGGATCTTCAAATGAAAGCCGGGCCTTTGCATGCGGAGCGGCGAGCGGCGTTGAGGACAAGCGGCGAAAGGGGCCGACGCGCGAAGACAAGTCCGACGTGGGGGCAGAACCAGGACGGACGGAAGGAGTTGGGGGTGTCTGCCCGCGGCCAAGTTGGGGCCTCGAAGTGGACGGTGTCAGCGGGTGTCGGAGGGTCGTGGGCGGCCGAAGGGCCACGGGAGGGGTGCTCGTCGCCATGGGAGCTCGAGTTGACGGCGATGGATGAGTGACCGCTGCTGGGGATGCCAGTGGGATAGACGAAGAGGTCAACGCGGCCGGTTCTGTCCGTCCAGCAATTCCTTGAGCGGTCGGCTTGGGTGTTGGTGTCGATGGCACAGACGGCGATGCTGCTGTTGTTGGAGCGTTAGAACGAAATATGTAGCGTCGACGCGGCGTTTGAGTGGTCGGTGTCGACGCTGTGGGTGCAGAGTGCGAGGACGGTGGTGGAGTCTGCGCAGTCGTGGCCTGATGGAGCTGTTGCCTCGCGATGAGGATCTTGGGCATGGGACTCTTTTGGTAAAGCGCAAGAAAGTGCTCTCGACTTGATGGGACGTTTGTTTTGGCCACGGGAGTACCGCCTGGCGTCGTCGCTGCGTGGCTGAGCCGCTTGGCATCTGGCGTCGAGGCCTCCGTGTCCAGTAGGTGTCTAGGAAGCAGCGAAGGGTACGGACTGCTCCATGCACTCGGAGAGGCCGCGGTGGTGCTGATGACGGAAGGTGGCGGTCGCATGCGGAACAGCACGCCAGGCCGCACCGTGTTGGTGGTCAGGTCCCGCTGCTGCATGATGAGGAAGTGTGAATAACAACCTATCCGGATACCACCGGTTGTTTCTTCGGTTCCGTATCCGGTTGACGATCACTCGACTGTAAGCTTTTGTTTCAAATCCAAACTGTCGGCCGAGCCGCCAACAGCATGTCGGTGCTTCCGTACGGCATTGCGACGGAGAAGGGTCCGAAGCAGTCGCAGGAGGTAAGATACATGACGCCAGACGTAGTACGGGAATAGAAGAATGGATGATGACCGTGCTGCTTCTCTTGCAGGACGCGTACTTTATTGGCGCCTTCCGTGGGGACCGGCTGACGTTGAATGGGTTCACCGGACCAAGTTCGTCGTCCATGGACGAGTACGCAGGATGTTTTGGGGTGTTTGATGGTCATGGAGGGGATCGAGCGTCGAGGTATTGCGCCGAGTTTGCGTTTCCAAAGATCCGTGCAAACCTCGCAACGTTGCAGCAATGCAAAGCGGCCTCATCTGGCTCCACCGACCCCCTCGCGGATGCCGACGATGCAGTGCTTCCCCACGTGCTGCGGCAGTCGATTCTCGATCTAGGTACGTGTATGCGAACTTTCATTCGTTCGTCGTTAGTTTCCTATCGATATCCCTCGTCGTCGACGATAGATGCTGAATTCTGCGACCGGTCTGGCGCCAACTTGCGCTTTGGGAAAGCCAGTGGGAACACCAAGTATCCCCTCTGCGGCATTGAAGACGGATCAACCCTCGTGCTTGCTATGATCCGACGTCACAAGCTGTACGTGGTCAACGTCGGCGACTCCCGCGCCGTGTTGTGTCATGTCGCATCCTCGGGCACGTACAAGGCCACGGCGCTCACCACCGGTACTCACTCGTCCCCGTCCATCTTCCTGGATATAAGATCCCTTTATTAGACCACAAGCCAGACCTCCCGGCCGAACGTGCGCGCATCCAAGCTAACGGCGGTACCATCACCGGCCTCGTCTGCGGCCACAAGCCGCCCGAGTTTGCTCTGCACATGTGGCCATTCAACCGCCTCGTGGACGTGCCGCGCGTCGACGGCGTCCTCAGCATGACCCGCGCGATGGGAGATGTGACGATGAAGCCCCCGCTCTCGGCCGAGCCGGACGTTGTCGTGCATGCGCTGGATGCAATTTCCGACAAGTTTTTGATTCTGGCGTCCGACGGGCTGTGGGATGTCGTGTCCAACAAGAAGGCGGCAAAAGTGGCGCTCAGCAGTCCGAGCGCGCAAGCGGCCGCCGCCGCGCTATGCAAACTCGCCATGAAGCGCGGGACCCATGACAACGTGACAGTGCTCGTCGTGGACTTGGCCAGGTTTATGCACACGACCAAGTTGGAATAAGCAGTCTTCACAACGTACTACTATTTAACAAAGAGTATCACCAGAGTACACTTACTGACCGAAGCAAGCAGCACAACACTGGCTTTCCTAGACACCATGCGACAGAGTCTACCTCTTCCGAGTAGAACGTTGAATATACTGACACTATGTCCAGTCACGTGTTAGTCCACGCTTCACGTGTTTGGTGGTACTAAGTGCTAGTTTTACCAGCAAGTGCACAGTGCACTGGAGCTGACTCCATCTGAGGTATTCTGTGACAGGGCGACGTCCATATTATTCTTCACAGTGCTGACTCCATCTGAGGTATTGGTTAGTTCATTAGGGCCTTTGCTCAACCAATAAGGTAATAAAACTAAATTAACCATCTGAGGTATTGTGTGACAGGGCGACGTCCAGATTATTACTTTACTACCTCCAGACGGAAATAGAAGTCCCTTTTGGTGAAAATTAATAAAATTGGTGATTTGTTTGATGGTGTTATCTGTTTTTGCCCTAAGTATACTTGTTGTAAAGGTCTTTGTATGATCCGTATCCCTGTGGAATATAATACCTTAAAGATGAATACCCTAATGGATAAGGCGGTTCTACTCTATGAATGTTTGTGGTTTGCATGCATTCTACCTGCATGAGCAAATAGTCAGCAACAATTTAAACTATGTTTTGTACAGAATATAAATTAATGCAGGTCTATAATATAATCAGTATAAAATCGTGACTCATATCCGGATACATATAAATAGACTCTATAAAATAAATAATTCCGGTTAATTCTGAAAAAAACTCTAAGAATGAAAAGGGACTTCTATTTCCGTCTGGAGGTAGTACTCAAGCTTGTTTCAACCACAGAAAAAGAAATGGGAGGGAGCTGTCACAGGAGTGACCATGTACTACTGTACTTACTACTGTACTTACAGTTCCAATTTGGAGTAAATGCAAATGATCCAACCAATCCAATTGCAGTATTGAGATACAGTTTGAACCAATCATTAATCCTTATATAGTTTCCCCTACCAAACCAACCGTACAGATAACGACGGAATAAGTGGCCCCGTGGTACAGTACTAAAATTTCGTATTGATTTAAGTATTCTACTTTTCGAAGTAGTTTGTCCCAATACAAATTTGAAGTGCTATTTCGAAGTACCACAGGGCCACTTATTCCGTCGTTATCTGTACCTCTGCATGGTCAGACATACCCGAGTCGACAATTTTGAACGGGTTTGTGGCGTGCCATCTATTAGTTGGTGAGGTGCAAGAAGTTGTCGACGGCGGAGGTTTTGTAGACGATGATGTTTTAGAGGAGTTGATGCAAGGATTATTAGCTGTAGAAGAGGTGATCAATCCAGCTAGTGACATTGATCATTGTGATGACATAAGTCAGCAGTGATGTCGTTCTGTGATTGGATAGTTTTGACTACCTTAATAATCAATCCACTGCATAATTGAATATTGGGTACCTTTTCATATTTGTTGTCGCTGCCTGAGAGTATCAAACTATTTGTATGTCCATTGTGAATTACTGTAACAATGGGTGTGTAAATATTCAAGCATCCGTATTCGGATAAAGTCAGATGCGTGTCTGAAGAGAATTACACAATACGGTAACACAGTGTACCCCAACGAGTTGTGTGAATCAGCGTAAAAGGGCAATTGTACATGTAACGTTATATATATATATATATACATCGTACATATGTACATAGTACATATCACGATGTTATCAAGATTCGAAGTATGATATATTATATACTATGTTGGGCATATACACCGTTAGTCTTGGTGCATGTCTTGCAGCACGGCATGCACTTTGTCTGGAAAGTGGTCGTCGAGCATGGTTCTGGCCACGTAAATCTGCAAAAAGTCGGTTTGATGGGCCCACACATAGTCGTAATGCGTGCGTTCAGTGCAGCAGACGCCACCACCTGGCCGGCAACACAAGCAAAAGCCGTGGCCGCGAGATCTCACCAGTCGTTTCAAGTGCACAATCCGTCCTGGTAGCCACATCTACACATATATCATGCATCCATATTGAAAGGCTTCAAAATACACACAAACGGCGCTAGCTTTTCGTGGATTCAAGACGGACTACCAACCTCATGGATCGGTTCCTTGGCTTGGATCCGCTGCAGCATGGTCCTACCCAACCAACCTCGTCACAGATTGTACGACCAGTGAATGTACGTACCTATAGTTGAGCAGTTGGGTCGTAAATACAGTGTGGCCGGCGTCGTCCTCGGTCGCGTGGAGCAGTTCGTCGGGGTGCCTCCATGATAACGCCTGGCGCATGATGTGTGTCTTGTTCACTTTGCTCCGTCCAATCAGACTCAGCACTTGGTCTCGTAGCGCCTGAAACGACAGAAGCGACGCCCGGGCTATGATATCCTTGCCCAGCACCACGGATGTCACGAACGACGCCGATGACGTGGCGAGTTCTGGGGACATGAGGCAGCCGGGGGGCGACAGCGCCAGACACTTTAACGTCGGGTATCTCGGTCGAAGCATGATGGAGAGGAGGACCGCCGCGCCGGCGCCGAGGGAGTGGCCAGTGATGGTCAAGCCGTAGTCGGCATACGTACCCGGGAGGCATCCGTTCACGATGGGGGACGGAGGGGTTGAAGGAACCGCAGTGGGATCAAATAACATTGGCAGCATGCCGAGGGCCGAAATCTCTTGCATAAGCCACAGCGCACACTGTAACATTCCCTAATATAACACATGTCGTTCCTAATTATAACTAATGTATTACCTAATTATAACACATGTCATTTCCTAATTATAACACATGGCATTCCCTATTTATAACACATGACATTCCAACTTGGTAACAAAAGTCAACCTAACGACGACTACTACTGGACTAGTAGTCGGAGCCCCATTCACATTGAAATTGTTATGAAGTACCTGATGGGCAAACGCCCCCTTGCCATCGCATTGATATGTCGCCGCCATCTCGTCCAACGATACACCGTACGCAATGGCGTCGGTGAGACAGTCTTCCAGCGACAACGTGCCCCGAATTGCAATCACCACTTGCTTCTTATGATGGTCCAGGGTTACACAGAACGCTGGCTTGCACACGGCGTTGCCAAAGCTAGCGTAGACAATGTCCGCATCTGCGACACCGGTTTCCAGCTGCAGCGCCACTTGGTGCCAATGCACGCAGTTGTCGCCGTGGATATATGGCTGGCCGCGGGTGGTCAGACTTCGGAGCACGAGGCGGGGACCAGATGTCCACGGATGGGACCATACATACAGCATCCAGCCGTAGATGCCGATAGCGTACTTCGAAAAGTGCGCCAAGTCCGCCACCGCCGCGACCAGCGCCACGTCCTTGGGGTCGTCCAGAGGCGCCGGAAAGGTCGGAACGACGCCGACTTCCCGGAGGACGTCGGGGGATGCCGCGGCCGCGTTCTTCTCGTGGTATTGTACCGCACCGAGGAGGACGAACCCTGCGATGATGTCTGAAAAGACCAAGTCTGGCGACCCGTAGAAGAATCGGGCAAAGACGGACGCGACCACCGACATGGCGTCCGTCTGGGTGCCGCTGCCGCCAAAGAGGCTGCATGTGAAGCATCGGACGCAGGCGCAGCAGCGATGGCATTGGCGCTCCCAGCGTTCTTGGTGCGGGATGTACAGGTCGCTGTTGGGAAGTGCGGGGTCAGAGTTGCCTACTTGGATGGATGCGTGAGATGATGTGTTGGAATGCGTGCGTGGTGATGAGGCATACCGTAGAGAAGCGTGTGGTTCTCAGGATCGACGACGTCCATGTGCGCATCGCACGAGTGGCGGCGCTGATGGACGGGAGTGCCGCCGATGACCAGGCACGCAAACAGCACCATGCCGAGGACGTTGGCGAGGTACCCCACGGCCACCACCTGTCCATACCAACATGACACAACGTATGTGGAAGAAGGAGGTTGTACCAGCACAAAGTTTGCGTCGGGGAAGCACAGCTGGTCCATAGCATAGAGGACGACGCCGGCGGTGCCGCCGCCAAACATGCCAACCGCCCACGCGAAATGCACCACGACCAGTGGTTTCATGAGGATGCGACTCTCGTGGGTGATGATCGTGCCTTGCGACGACACGTGCAGCTCCAACACGTTCATGATCATCACGAACGCCAGCACGGGGATCGAGAGCAACATGTACCAGAACCCAAGCCCCGACAGGTTGTGGATCTGCATCGTCGAGCAAGTGCGGTACGTGGACACATACAGCACACACACGAGGACGAACGGAATCTGGAACATGAACTGGAGCAGAGCCGGACAGAAGAAGTCGTCGCTGCCGACGCGGCTGCGGCGCCCAAACAGCTCGAGCGCTGGCATGATGGATACAAATTCCAAACCGCCAAGGACGTGGTTGGCCCGTTTATTTAATATTACATACAAAGTACAAGTCATATTTGACATCTCGTGATTGTATTTTTAGGAGCCCCGCCAGTTGAAACTGTCGGGTTTTCTTGTTGACACGTCGAGCACCCTGCCATCATGCCTACATGCTCGAGCGTGATGCGGAATGGCGTGCGTTGTACGTCGCTTGTCCCCGCCGACGATCCGTCTGCGTCCATGTGTACGCACCACCAGCGTATGGCTCGTGTCATGGCGCTCGCCCCGAAGAAGCCAGATGCGACTCCGTCGACATCGCCGCCGCCTGGCCCTGCTAATCCGTTGTTTCCGTCGTCGTCCGTGGTGCATGTCCCTTTGTCGTCCGTCGGGGCTTTACGTGGGGCACCTCCGCTCCCCATCCACGTTCCATCCGAGTCATTCTCGGACTACTTGAAGGTATCGTTTCCAGGGGAAGTCAAGTCCGCGTCGCTGTCATGTTCGTTCGAAGTGTCGTCGCGCGAAGGCGTGCCTGGCACACTCATTGTGACCAACTACCGGCTCCGCTTCGAGCCATCTTCGTCGCAGCGATCTACCAACTTGCCTCCGTCTTTGCAGGAGGCCATCACCCCTGGCTTGCCCACCGCGAGCGTGTCCAAGCTCACGTATCCCCTGTCGTCATCGTCATCTTCAAACTCGATGCCAGCCCAAGTCGTGGTGCACTTCCGCAACTGCCGGACATGGGTCTTACGTGGCAACGTCACGGAGCTCATGACGACATTGAACCGCCTCGTGTTTGTCGAATCCCCGCTGCACCTGTTTGCATTTGCTCAAGGCAACACCGTCACCCCAGACCATGTCCAAGGTATTCTAATCCTCACATTTTTTCGAATAGTATTTTATTCTTTCGAATAGTATTTTATTCTTTCGAATACTGGTAGTATTTTATGATTTATATACTACTGAAGTAATTACTACAAGGAACACGATTGATACTTGTTCATATCATGTCAAATGAATTCTGAGTAAGTTATGCATGGTTCGGAGGTACTGTGAATTAATTCGCTATAACCTTCCAAAATTCGCGTGGTTTGTCTACTATCAATATTGAATAAGTTGTGATTGGTTGAATATACTTTTCCTTTCTGTAAGAGCCAATCAAATATATCCACTCAAAGTTGGATTAGCCAATAGCGTCGATTCATCGTGGTTCGATTTCACGGGGAGTGTGGAAATTTGTACCGAATATACCACAATATGTAGGTTCAGTGAATATTATAGCGTTCTCTCTCCAGTCAACCCGTGTTTGCTACCGATGGATGCATCCAGTAGTATACTTGCATGCCTTTGATTACGACCCCTAACATTCATATGCTTGATTACGTCTACATGATTATATTGTTTACTTTTACCCAGTTGCCATGACATCATACTGTACGTAGGGCATGCCATCTATGACCTCTACGCCGACTTTGCCGCCATGGGCGTGTCACTTTCATCAAGTCCATTTCGAGTCACAGACGCAAATCGATCGTATGCGATCTGTCCGACGTACCCGCCCATGTTTGTCGTGCCCGCCGCCATGTCGGACGTCCAAGTGGCGGCGGTCGCGGGCTTCCGCTCCAAAGGCCGCATGCCTCTGTGCTGCTGGGTCCATTCATCCAACTCGGCCAGTCTGTGGCGGTGTGCGCAGCCCAAGCGCGGGATCTTCCATGCCCAGAACGCCGACGACGACCACATGCTGTGGCTCATTGCCCAGACCAACAAGATCAACGGACAGAATGTGTGGATCGTCGACTGTCGGCCGGAACTGAACGCGCGCGCCAACAACGTACGTGTGTCTGATTCTGACATGTCTGATTCTGACTTGTCTGATTCTGAAATTGTCTGATTCCCATGTTCCGACGTCGCAATGTGTGGCGATATCGGATTCCGAGTCGGGACCATTGTCTGAGTCGGTGTGTGTAGCTGACCGGCGGCGGCACCGAAAGCGGCAGCATCCGCCACGCCACGGTCACGTTTATGAACATTGCCAACATCCACGCGATGCGCGAGTCGCTGGAAGCGGTCCGCCAGCTGGCGCTGATGCCATCCATGGAGGCCGACCTCCACTGGTACTCGCGTGTGGAGGTGCGTCGAATCGTGTTTTCACGTGTGTTTGTATCTCAATCTGAGTCTGAGTCTAGGACACCAAGTGGCTATACCATGTGCGTTTGGTGCTGCGCGCGTCGATTCAAACAGCGCACGCGATCCACCAGAGTGCCACGTCAGTGGTCGTCCACTGCAGCGATGGCTGGGACCGCACCGGCCAAGTGTGCGCCCTGTCGCAGCTGCTTCTGGACCCCAAGTACCGGACGCTCATAGGGTTCATGCAGCTGATTGAAAAGGCAAGCTCATATACCTAGTACAGTCGTACTGTTCTGTGAATTTTCAAAGGAGTATAATGAAAACTCATAGGAATGGATCAAAGTCGGCCACAAGTTTGGCGATCGTGTCGGGGCTGGCAAATGTGAAAGTACGTACAGTCGGTTGCTTGCTTTTATGGATACGTATTTTGGGTTTATATTGTGAATTAATTCGCTATAAACAATTCCAAAATTCGCCTGGTTTGTCTACTTAATATTGAATCACGCTGGAGTTGTGATTGGTTGAATATACTTTTCCTTTCTGAAAGAGCCAATCAAATATATCCACTCAAAAATATATTAGCCAATAGCGTCGATTCGTGATTCGATTCGACGGGGTCTACTATTGTGCTTTCGAGTGAAACTTTGTGTTGTGGCGTGGTTTCTCGGTGGAATTTAAATCGATTTGATTGGCTACCTCAGAAGAGCTCAAAATTATTAGCCAATCAAAACCTTCTCAATGAAATTCAACCAATCAGATCGATTGTGGATCGGTTTGGTCGGCGCGATTCGATTGCACCCCCTCCCCAAATTTGTACTATCAAATCGACAATATACCACAAGACCATTCTAGTTTTTTTGTCATATCGATTCGAACCGCGAGTCCTCAGCAGAATAGTCGAAGGTCTTGGGAGAATCGATTCAAGAACCTCCTGAACCAATCAAATCACGTCCTGTCGTATATATTCTGCCAATCCAAACGTTTGACCCCTCCGCATTGGGCAAAACCACATAGATACTCATCTGTGTATAATGTGTACAAGAGTAAATAGGATCAAATTGAAACCTATTTGGTGAAATGACTCTCAAGTCCAAATTTGGGTGAAATGCTCAATATTTTTGCTATAATTCTTGTGTTTTCGTTGGCTCTGTATGAACATGTGTTTTAATGTGTAGATGACGAGCAAGCGCCGATTTTCGTTCAATTTCTTGACTGCGTGTGGCAACTGCACCGTCAGTTTCCCACGTATTTCGAGTTTACGGGGCTGGCGCTGCTCGCGATTGGGTTTCACGCGACGTCGGGGCGGTTTGGCACGTTTGTCGGCAACTGCGACCGGGACCGCGTCGTGGCTCTGCAAGTTGCTGGCCGGACGCCGTCGCTGTGGACGTTCATGCTGGACAACGCCGTGCAGTTTCGCAATCCGTTCTACCGCCCGTACGTCCAAGAGTCGCATGATGGCGACACGGGCGCGCTGGTTCCGTGGCCAGTCGCGACGGTCTTGAGGCGCGTGGTGCTGTGGGACGAAATGTACTTGGCGCTGCCATCTTGCGGCAACATCACCAAGCCCAAGGACATGGCCGCTGGAAGCTTCCATCAAGCCAAGACCGCGGCGGAAGACTTGGAAATGGCCATGGCGGCCGCGCAGCATCAGTTGTCGTCGTTCTGTTAAATGGATGTATACACTGTGCGTGTCGTCGTTGCAGTTCAAAAGTGCAATATGCCACATCGCTTGCGTACTACCATGGATTATATGGAGACATCATGTCTATTGGACAAACAAGCTGTACGCGACTCTAACACGGCAACTTCCGCACGAGCCTCTGACAGCATTGTTGTCTTGTCGTCAGGGTAGGGGAATATAAATTTATATATATAGTTTTCCAATTGACAGCAATAATCAACAATTGAAAAGTTATACTACTTAACTGTGAGTATTTAATTGCCACAATAATATCATTGTTTTCACTACCATTTTTGCAAGATGATTGTTGTGGCATTTTCGTGATTTGAACAAGTGTACGTTGGTCAAAATAGGTTATTGCCTCGACTATAACGTTAGGGTATACTTCTAAATACTAATAAGTAGAGAATATCACTACGAACCTGATTTCACTATTTAAAGAGTCCTCATTAGAATACCCTTGATGTTAAAGGACAAAAAGTGTCAGGAAAGATTCTTACTGTGTTTCCTCATCATTTCTATGGAGCTATGTCTGATTCGGAGCAGAGTTATCCATAGACAGAGGTTTAGATAGAAATATGTAAAAAAACTCAATACCTTTATAAACGGATAAATATTGTACTACGTAGTACGTAACAAATTTCCACGATTCGTCAGACCGATCACAAATCTCGCGGCGAAATTTCATTGGCTTTCCCCACAAGCACGAAACGGATGTAGCCAATCAGCGAAGAGTAATTTCAGATTGACCAGTGAGAGCGATGTCCGGAAATTCGTACCAAATGAAGTCTCCCATTCTAATAAAGACAGCCAAAGCTCCCATTGGTCAATCTGAAATTACTATTTGCTGATTGGCTACAATATTTTTCTTTTACTTCTCCGGAATGGGGAAAGCAGCCAGTGAAATATCGCGGCGAGACTTGCGATCGGTTTGACGAGTCGCGCAGAAATGGGAAATTTGGCGAAAATTCATACTAGTAGTACTACATACACTCAATACTACTAGTAGAGGCTTGTCAACATTATGATAGCACTGTACGTTATTACACTAGTGAGCGTAGTCCTACTTTCGCTTTTGCTTTTTGGCCTTGTGTTTACGGTTGCGTCGGTCCTCGACGTCGTCTTCGTAATCTCCAAACTGGGCACTGCGCGACTCTTCCCTTTGGATCTCTTCGTAGCTCGCTTCCATATCGGACGAATCGTTCCCTCCATCCTCCTCCTCCTCAACGTCATCATCGTAGTATGCCGATCGGCGGCGGCGCCCTTTCCGGATCATGGATGTGATCAGCCCCGGCACGAACCTCGGCATGTCGTCGTCGTCGACGAGGAATCCATCGTCGCTGTCATACTCGTCGTCATCATCGTACTTGGACAGCTTTTTGCGACGACTTGGAGGGGCGGACAGCGGTTTGCTCTGAAGCGATGGCAGCGCCGCCGCCACCACCCGGGCATGGCCGCGCTTGGGCACGACGACGGCCACGTCCTTGTCCGTCATGGTCGCGACCAGCTTGAGGGTATCAAAGCCGTGCTCGAAGAACGCCGGGCCGTACTGACTCATATCCCCGTCCGCCAGCCCCTTGAGCCAGTGCATCACGTCGCGCTCGCCGGCTTTGAGCGGCGGGTTCTTGGCCGACGAGTCGTCCTCCCGCTTCCGCTTTTGCTTCAAGTTCGTGTTCGGGTCTGCCCGGCCAACCGTGCGCGGGTACATTTTGTCTAGAAACTCCTTGCGTTGTTCGCGAGCCTGGGGCGGACCAGTCGGCTTCGTCATCTTGCGCTTGTCCACGTATGATGTGGTACTGTTTCGCTTTGAAGTGCTAGACGAAGCTGGCGGCGGGGGTCGATTGATGGCGGTAAACTTGGACGGCACTGGCGCCATCTTGGTAAACGACGTCGACGACGACGCCGCGGGTGGTTTTTGCTGGACCGACGCGAACGGCACCGTCTTCCCAGTGGCCCTCGCTTTGTTCTCGGCTAACGCCCGGAGCTTGAGTTGGCGCTGGTGATGGCGCGCTTCGTCCGATCTAAATATATCAATTTGAGCTTGAGCTCAATCATATAATATATATATATGGGTTGGTGATATGCTGCTCGTACGTCATGTTGGCAGTTGGGGCGGATGTGGTAGGTCTGGGGGCAGGTCGTACAGGAAGGCTCGAAGAAGGTGCTGGTCTCGCGTCGCCGCTGCTCTTGTGCGAACTGGGGGCGACGCTGCGGGGTACCTTTTGCTGCATGTTGGCGCGCTCGGGGTTTGTGAAGCGGGTGATCGTGGCTGCGCTGGCCACTGGCTTTCGACCGCGAACTTTCTTGACGACGGGGTTTTCGAGAAAGATGCTCGTGCGCGAATCCTTCTTGGCCCGCTCGTTCGCATACGCCTGCTGGACGCGGAGGCGCGCGGCGTCGCCTGTCTTCGAGTCATGCGCGGTCTATCGGATTCAACACATGAGGGACACACATCCACGTTGAAATGGACACGAAGGGTGTTGGTGGTGGGGGAGGGACTGCGTACTTCGGGGATCTTGGTGTATGCCAACGCCGCGACCACGGCGGGCTGCTTGGACTTGGACGACGTTGAATTCACGTCCAACGCAGCCTTCCACTTGTTCGTCAGGCGGGACGCATATGCCTTCACGCATTCGTCCGAGTGTTTGCGCAGCTTGCTCACGACGACCCCAATGCGGGTTTCGCGCATGGTTTCGAGCATGGTGCTAGGATCTGGCGTGTACGTGTTTAAGACGGCGAGCAAGCTTTGGATCTCCTTGGCGGCCCGCTTGTTGGACTGCCACTCGTTCTCTTGAATGGCGCTATGCAGCTTCTGGGAGATGGTGCTCACGTCCACCGACGCGCCTTCTACCATGTTTCCTGCTGGTCAGTGCGATGGTGCAAATATTAATGACCTTGGCCGGACGAGTACTCTTGTGATTCCTTCCGCAAATATCCGGATAAAATGTCAACACCCAATCAGAACACGCGACAGTCTGGAAATAGCTCCATTAGTATTACTACCAGAACTTCAGTGCCAAAGCACGGTTCTGGTATGGGTAAGCCCTGGTTAGTATTACTAGAGCAGGAGTTTTCTACCCGGTATAAAGTGGACATCGGATATTTGAGCTCTAATATCAGTTGGCGTCATCCATCGACAGCGCAATCACAGTTCAAGTCGGACCATCGTCCGCGCCGCCATCATTGACGCTTGCTCCCACTTGTTGACACAAGTATGAATCAACCTGGGGCGAACCAGCATGCGATGCAAACCGAAGTCCACCAAGTGGCTGGCTTGATCCAATCTCGCATGTGCAGCGAGTTTCAAATGCACGAGGAGTGCATTCCAGCGGCGAAAGCTGCGGCTCGGTGCTCGATCTTCGTCACCCAGGACTGGCATGAGAACCCTCGATTGTGTGTGTTTATGCAGCACGGGGCAGGAGTGACACCAGGCTTGTGGGCGATTCCGCCTCCTCCGTCGTCACACCAAGGTTCGCCAGCCTCCATCCAGGCGTTCTCGCACTCGTTGGCGTCCATGTCCCTTATCCCATATATCAAAGCTGCGAGAAAGAGTGGGTATGCCGTACTTGTCATGAACCCCAGCACGAACCGCATGTCCGTGCAAGGCCACTCGGTGAAGATTCTGCATTCGTCGTCGCCCGAAGAACATGTCCTCCACGTTTGGACAACGTACATTCAGCCGTCCGCCGCGAGTCTGATCCACTTCATTTCGCACGACACTTCTGGACTCCTCGTGAACCATCTGCTGTCCCATCTCGATCCCCGCCTCCACGTACGTATTCATCCGCCGCCATCCACACGATCGTCTAACGTCCTTGCAGTCGCGCATAGGCGGCATTGTCTACATCGACTCTCCCCAAGCCAACGTACTGCCACCTCGGCGAATCGGCAAGGCCGACCACATGCAGCCACTCCTCGCGCGCCGCGGTGTGCACTTTGAACCGTCGGCCGAGCCCATGTTTCACCTAGTAACGACCGGCGCGAGTGCCCGATACTGCTCGACGTTGTCAGTGGGTCGGCTCTCTAGCGAAAACTCGTCGTGTTTGCTGCAGTCGGTCCAAAGCTCCACGTTTGTCTTCCTCAAGGTAACAACTAACTAGTAGTAACTACTACTACTACTACTACCTAACAACTACCGATTCCTCGCTATCTTTTGGCCATATTGTGTTTCTTTTACCGGTCCACTACTTGTTTCAATGTGGACTTGGTCGAATGTGATGATTTGATTGGCTACTTGATTCGGGTGGTGGGTTTTGATTGGTCGTGTCTCGATATTGTTTGCTGATTTGGTGATATTCTGCTCATACTCGAATATTTCCAATATATCTCTTGACCAGAACACACATCCGTCACTCATAGTGCATCCCAAGTGGCCTCCAACCTGCCCTCCAAGCCATCCGCACGACCGTCCCGAACAAACTAGTGGTCACCGTGAACCGGGCTAGATTAACTGGGCAGCCGTACAACAACCCGTACGCAGTCGTGACATGCGTGGGCCAGTCCAAAGCCACGGTAGGCAACAACAAGAAGACTATGGACCCAGAGTGGAATCAAACATTTTCGTTCCCCGTGCGCGACGAGACCGCATCCGTGCTGGTGAAAGTCAAGGACAAGGCGTTCCTTCCCATGAGCTCCATGGTGGGCGGCGTCGCGGTCGCGCTGGCGGACGTGGGCTGGAACCGCGTGTGGCGCCACTGGTTCACCCTTCGGCACGACACGTCCAACCAGCATCAGTACCACCAGGTGCACGGCAACGGCGAAATCGAGCTCACCCTTGAATGGGTGCACGACACGTTTGTGGCTCGCACCGATTCGTTCTTGGCACCTTCGCCTCCTCTGTCACCGCCGCTGGCTTCCGTTGCTCAAGACAATGGGTGCTACCTATGCAGCTGCACCTTTGTCCTGCACCGACGACGGTACTGCCGCCTGTGTCTGCGCGCCGTGTGCGTAAGCTGCTCGGACCGGCTGTTCCTCCCTGGGTTTAGTGAAGCCAAGCGGGTATGTCTAGCTTGTTGCAACCTGCAAATAGCACTACACAAGCAACCGCCGCCGATGCCACCCCGACCCATCCAACCAGCCCCTCGTCCCCATCGGGAGGCCGACGTCCGCCGAGAAGCGGACAAAGCAGCGTTGGAGGACGCATCCCGAGCCAACTTGCAGGCGATGATGCAGCGAGAACAAGAAGCGCGTCCGCTGGGTATTGACGACTTTGACCTGATCAAGGTGGTCGGGCGCGGCGCGTTCGGCAAGGTGATGCTCGTGCGCAAGAAGAACGGCAAGAACGCCGGGGCCATCTACGCCATGAAGATCCTCAAAAAGATGCACATCATCCAGAACGACCAGGTCGAGAACACCAAGGCCGAGCAGCACATCCTCAAGGAGATCAACCACCCATATGTGGTGCGCCTGCGCTACGCGTTCCAAAACCCAGATAAACTGTACCTTGTCATGGACTACTACCCTGGCGGGTCCATGTACTTTCACCTGAAAAAGTCCAAACGGTCATATATATATAGCAGTTTCAACTCTGACTTTTGACGGGGTACTGTGTAGGTTCTCGGAAGAGCGGACACGGCTGTACATGGCGCAGCTGCTCACAGCTATCATGCACCTCCATTCTAAAGATATTGCGTATCGAGATCTGAAGCTCGAGAATATTCTCATGGATACCCATGGTCACATTGCACTGACAGACTTTGGACTGTCCAAGGAAGGCCAGACCATTGACGGCGCGATTCGAGCATCCCAAGCGAACGGTATCACACTCTCCATTAGCATCACCTCCTTATATGATATATATATATATATATATATTGTGCTTTCGAGTGAAATTTCATTGTGTTGTGGTTTCTCGTTGGAAAGTAAATCGATTTGATTGGCTACTTCAGATGAGCTCAACATTATTAACCAATCAAAACCACCTTCTCAATGAAATTCAGCCAATCAGATCGATTGTGGATCGGTTTGGTCGGCGCGATTCGATTGCACCCCAATTTTGTACTATCAAATCGACAATATATCGATCGATTTTTTGTACTGCATATTTGTATAGGATGTGTGAAAAGTGTTGTCGCCCTTTACACGAATTTCATTCACATACTCATATTGTTGAAGAGTGAATGTGATTGGCCGCTTGATTCGTGGTGTGGGTTTTAATTGGTCGTATATCGATTGTCTGCCGATTTGGTGCTCCTCACTTCATTTTCGAATCGACAAGATTGATTTGTTTTGACTGGGTGGGGATAATATATAGTATATTGGTTTGCCTATCTGATTAGTATCCCGATGCAAACAATATTTATATTTTATTTGGTTGTCTATTTGGAGTATTCGACGCAAACTGATATGTGTGTGATTTCTCGGTGTGCAGTCTCAGATGATATATATATATATATATATTGTCTGAAAGGGAGTGATGTATATATACATACACTCTGCATTATCCAGTGTCGATTAGGATGTATGTTGGTATTTTGTCCGTTTCTTGGATCTCAGGTGATAAGGATATACATTTGTGATATATATGTTCTCAGGTGCAAATTATGATATATATATTGTGCATTTCACCTAAATTCGGACTTGAGAGTCAGCATTCGAATCCACTTGATCTAATTTAAAATTGAGAGCAAATTATACTATACAAACGTTGTTATATATGTGATTTTGCCCAATAATGCGGACTGGGCGGAATCAAGCGTTTGGATTGGCAGAAATTCGACAGAACGTGATTTGATTGGCTCATTACGCCGTTCTTGAATCCATGAAAACATTCGATTGTCCAGTTTCGAATGGATTTGACAATATATATATATATATATTCAGGGGGAATGAAGACCATCTGCGGCACGGCCGAGTATATGGCGCCGGAACTGCTGCGCCACCAGCCGTACGGAAAGGTGGTGGACTGGTGGTCCTATGGCATCCTCCTCTTTGAGATGCTCACGGGGCGGACGCCGTTTGTGGACCGAAATCGGCGCGTCATGTTCAAGAACATCATGGGGAGCGAAGTCGTGTACCCGGCGTACTTGAGTCCGTCGGCTCGGAATTTGATTTCCAGGTACTTAAGTCGTTTTTTTAGCCAAAACGTAGGATTCTTTATATGCTATTTGGGTGGTCGAGTTATAGCCAACCAATCCATCGATATATATATTATTGGTTGTTGAATTGTTGTCCTTTTAATTTGGAGGTTGAAATATTGATCCGCCGAATCTATTGGTTTTTTGTACTGCATTTTGTATATGAAGCGTGTTGTCGCCGTTATATGGTTGGTGAGACAGTTTGATTGGCCACTGGATTCGTGTAGTGGGTTTTGATTGGTCGATCATTGATTGTTCATTATTATTACTCCATTTTCGAATCGAATAAACAATTGTTGAATTTGGACTTGGTAGACTGCTGATCCGAGACCCGAGCAAGCGACTGGGCAGCGGCGCGGGGGGGGGTCGGGATATCATGGCCGACGAATTCTTCGCCGTGGTGGATTGGGAGGCATTGCTGCGCAAGGAGATTCAGCCGTCGTTCGTCCCCGAAGTGTCTGGCGCCGAGGACGTGACGAACGTGCCGGCGCAGTTTCAAAACATGGCGGCATTGGATTCGCCCGTGGCCAAAGACAGCAACGCGCCGACCAACCACTTTGAAGACTTTAGCTACCAAGAAGAGACGAGAATGGCCCCCCGCCACTACTAGTAGTTAGTGTTTGTAGCTACAAGTGCCGTAATGAGCTGCAGTATCGAGTCTGAGTTTTGGTTGTACATCGAAGACATGCATGCGATGATGGTGCTGCTGCCCAAGATCTCCACGAAGGATGTACTCTTGAACTACCAAGAGCTCACACTGTTGTGCTTGTGACATGGACGACGTTCATGGCAGCACCGATGGAGCTGCGTTGCTATAGACTTCTTACATAGTTCAAGCTTCTCCGAGTGTTGATGATGTCATCGAATAAACGGTTTGAGAATAAATCAGTATTACTATGGAGTACGTAGTAGTATTAATAGTAGTACGACGGTTTCACTCCAACGTTAGAATGACTACTAGTATTAATAGTACTACGTAGTGGAAGCAGAATTACTACTATTTCGAAGTAATACGTAGTATTAATAAAAGAAACTACGTATAATACCTCAATTAGATCTACTATTAATAATTTCGAAACCGCTAAATTCGCTATATTTCATATTTATATTACAGTTTGTATGACCTTGGTATCATCCCAAAAGTACCGGTACTACAGTATTTACAGTTAGTAGCAAAGTACTATTAATACTAACTTAGTAGTACTACGTTTTGGTTTGGTACTATTTTAATAGTATATGGTACTTCGAAGTATTAAAATCCCTAAATACCATATTTAGGGTATTTGAAGTTGAACAATTTCTGGTGGTGTCGCACTCGTCCTGTACGTGCTGCGCATCAGCATGGCCGAGGTTGACGGAGCTCACATCGACACTGCCGCCGTGCCTCGAAGCGACATGGCTTCTACGAGCGTAGAGTACACCGTGCAACAAGTGGACAACTGCAGGTTTACCTCTTGGTATGAAGCGTTGCGTGTCCACAGCATCCGCAGCATCGCGATCCCGTTGCCCGAGGAGTTTGTGGCGAGTTTGCTCCAAGACCAGATCCTCGTCCAGGAAGACTTGTATCCGTCTTCGTTCGTTGCCGCTGTCAAAGACGCCATCCATCGCTTGGGTGGTCGCGTGTTTGCCAAACTGGACTGGAGCAGCGCCAAGGACGCCAAGTGGATCCTCGCCAACTCGTTGTGCTGCCGGTCGTTCGCGGACATCTTGATGTTGCTGAAAGCTTCCGACTTCATCACCCACGACCTGACGCAGGCGTACGACGGATGCAGCGACGTAGGGACCAAGCGCCGCCCCGACACGTTCCACCTGGTCCTCAAGAAGTGGTGCCACTTGTTCGACTCGATGCATTTCCGGTGCTTTGTACGTGCCAAGAAACTGTTGGGCATCTCCCAGCGCAACTGCACCGAGCGGTACGACTTCCTCGCTTCCGAGGCCACACAGGACACGTTGTGTGACGCCATCGCAGCCTTCTTCGAGTCGCATCTCACCACGTCGCAGGCCCTCCCCGATCCGAATTACGTGTTCGACGTCTATGTGGACAAGGACCACAAGGTCCACCTCATCGACATCAATGTGTTTGGCGCCGTGACGGACCCGCTCTTGTTCTCATGGGACGAATTGAAGCAACCGGCGACGGCAGAAGACGAGCGCATCCATTTCCGAGTGGTCACGACGCCGCGCTCGGCCATGTACTCAGATCCGTACGGCCAGTACCGCGTGCCCGTCGATTTGGTCGAGCATTTGGCTACCCCTGGTGGGTTTGACGAGTTTATCCGACAAGTGGCTAAAGACAACATCCAACACCCCCATGACGACGACGATGACGATGATCATGATGATGATGGCAACTGGTCAGATTAATTCAAACTCTATTACCATCGACTTTGTACTACAGTAGAACCTCCGATTAAAAAATAGTACTAGTAATTATTACTATTACGTAGTACTAGTATTCGGTTTACCAGTTATTGTGAATTCGCTAACGTTTTATGGTGCACGGGACAGTTTAAGGTGCACTCAAATTGGCCAATGGAATTGCTTGATTTTTGGAATAGCCAATCGAATCACTAGAAAAATGAGATCACCAAAAAATAAGCAAAAACAGCATACATATTTTAAGCTTAAACCGTGCACCATAAACCGTCCCACCTATTTTGCCTTGATTTCAGTGGAAATCGAAGTAAATGAACGCCAATTAAATAAGCAGAAGAATGCCCAAGCTTTCGGCTTCACGTAGCACATCTCAGAATTGAAATCCCGGTCCTGAGAGACGAATAAGGTGCATTCTACGACGAGGTCCCTTTCAAGTGCACCATAAATTGGCCATGTACGTGTAGTATAAACTTCCAGAATTCGCGAGGTTTGACTAATTAATATTAAATCACGCTGGAGTTCTGATTGGCTGACGATTCTTGTCCGCGAATCTTGTCATCGGTAGAAATTATATGGATCGAAGCACAGTGAGAATTTTTGGCCAAATAATTTCTACTAACTGTAAGTAGTTTTGATATTGTATTAATACTTGAGAGATTTCTCTAAATAATCGGATTGCTATGGTCCTTTTCACCCAGATTTGGACTGGGCAGTTTAACGTTATTCGAGAAATCAGACTGGGACAAATGGGCCAAAGCCTACCATTGGTTGGAATTTAGGAGTGAAGCAATTTCATTGGCTAGCATTGATAGTCGATTATTGTCTGCGTTGCCGCTGTATTCGATTGGACTACCCACTTCATAAAACGATAAAAAAGTTTTATCGGAGGTACTAGCGTCGTTGACCCGCCAGTTAAGTTGGTGCATTGCAATACATGATGTAGCTATTGAAATGTGTCCAATAAAGATTGACATGCACTTGTTGATAGCTATTCTACTTGAGCAAACTTTAAACGAAAATAAACGAAAATGCAATTGATTCAACACGATGGCTGTTTTGTTCCTTCGCTTTACCCAAAGCCAAACCCTTCCGATCCTTCTCGAATCGCGAGCACCAATCTCGTCTTGAGCTGGTCTTCGTTTTCGTACTCGGGCAAATCCAATTGATTAAAGCTATATCCATACACAAATATCAAGAGATATATATATATATCCAAACGTACCACGTATGCGCCGTGGGGAGGGATGCACTCGACCCAAATGCCTTGTGGATGTTAAATTTTTGCGTGCCGCGCATGCCTTCGAGCGCTTTGAACCCTTCCAGCGGTACTTTGGATGTGCCCGTGACAAACTGGATGAACAGCGCGCGCTCTTCGTGTGTAAACGAGTACATGGCGTTCCAGAACCACCGAATCACATTGTCCGTGGGCTTGTAGTTGGCATAGTCCGTGTTGGCCTTTAAGTCGTCAATATCAATCTCGGGCATGCCAGAAATCAGGAGCTCGAGCTCGTTCTCGTTGAAGATAGAAATCAACTGGGGCGACACGAGCTGATGCAACCCGCCGAGAAACGAGTCGATCTGCGACCGGATGCCAGTGGCCATGCGATGATGTGTCACGAGCTTGACATACTCTAGCTTGTTGTCGTCGGTCACGGCCACGTCTCGGCCGTGGGGCACCAAGTCGACAACGTCCACCTTGCCAAAGTTGGAGTGCTCGATGGAAAACGTCAAGTCCAGCCCAAGGGCGTCAATTGGGTTGTCTAGAATCGAGTGCAAGTTGCGGTAATACTCGGGGTCGATGGCTTCCATGTCAGAGTACGACAGTGGCAGCTGCAGCATGTGCTTGTAAAACGACCGGGTAAAATGCGCGTCTAGCAGCTGGCCATCCGCGATCGCCTTGCCAATCACTTTGCCCACAAACTCAAAGTAGCTCAAGTGGTCCTTGTTGACAAATGACAGCGGGTTGGGCTGGAACGTCGGCGAGTCCGCGGCCGACGTAAACAGCGCGTAGTTGGGGTTGAAGATTTCGCGCGCCAATATCGTATACCATTCTCGCGTCACGCCGCCGGCGTCGATGCCTTCTTCGCCCGTGAATGAAATGTGCAGCTTTCTGCGCAACTCGTGGCCGCTGCGCATGCGGAGCGCATAGTACGAGTCTTCAAACACGCGGTCGCGGCGGACGGGCAGGCGCACGGACGACGACCCGCCGCCGCCACCCTGCGACCGCAGCGACGCATGGCGCAGCCGCTTCATCGACGCTTGAAAGTACGTACGTTTGTTGTCAAAATCCAGAAATGCGCGACACTGCGGGATCTTGATCAGCGCCGCCAGCGAGTTATCGAGCAACGATGGCTTCTCCCGCACGAGCATATTGAGTAGCACGCGGTTGGCCTCGACAAAGTTGGCCAACAGTGTCGCATGGACGTCCACTGGGAGGTCGTCGTCGCCGGAGGGGGGCGCTAGCGTCATGTGCGCCGCGTCACGGGCGTTCACGACAAAGAACGCTTCGATCATGGGCAGGAATCGCGTCAGGAGGGCGCCCATCGCACACGACGCGCCGGCGCTTTTGCCTTCGATGACCGTACCCAGTCGTCCGCCGTCGGTTTCATCGGCATCTTCTTTGTCGAAGCCCCAGCCTTCCACTGCCCGCGCCGCGGCAAGGGATGCACTCAACGCCTGCCATACGGGCAGCAGGTTGAGTCGTTTCTGCACGTGGTCGGTGAATTGCTCAGTGGTGGCCGACAGGTCGGACAGCGTGTGCAGTAACCGCAGAAGCTTGACTTCTTGCTGGGGGGTTTGCAGCACGGAGGCCGCGGTATTCGTCGTGTGCGATGCCGAGATGACTCTGTCGCAGCTTTCGACGAGCGTGTCCAAGACAGCCTGTTGGGTCTCGGGGGTAGTCGACAGTAGCTTGAGGATGCTCAGCACGCGTGTTTGCATTGGTGCCGTGCACTGATCCAGTGCCAGCACCGACACCAAATGGTGCAATTCCGTCGCCGAGAGCACCACCGTGGGCACTGGAATCCACTCTGTCGCAGCATCGGTGTCTACTTCTGGCGACTTGTGGTCGGCCGCGGGACCCGCCAGACGAATCAGCGGACTCGTCACGTACTCGAGCGCTTCCAGCAACAAGTCCAAGTGGCTGCCGTTGCGCGTCACACCAAGCAATGCCACAAGCGTACTCAGTCCGTTGCTCTGCAAAAAGTCGACTCGCAGGCGCACGTTATCCTTGGTAAGAGCCACGAGAACAGTTAGTCCCCGGGCCAGCACTTCGCCATCGTTTTGGCTTCCACTGCAACCAATCATCGCCGACGGTGGAAACTTTGTACTGTCGACGGCGGATGGACGGGTCCCGGCCAACACGTGCACAAGGTTGCTTCGAACCCACCGCCGCAGCGTCGGGTACAGGCACAGGTTGGACACGACCGTTTGAAACACCCGGTGGTGCTTTAGGATGGACTGAGACATGTACAGTACCGTCAACAAGTGCTGGATCGACGCTTCTGTGACACTGGCCAAGTGGTCGGGGGGGGCGTCGGCGAACTCTTCCTTGTCCACGTGCACCAGGCCGCGCTTCGACTCGTCCTCGACCGCCGGAACCAACAGCCCCCGTCCGTCCTCGCGGGCGCCTCGTCCGTACCGACGGGTCGACATCCCGCCGCCGCCACCCAGATCGTTCCCGTGACTTGTCAGCATACGCCGCAGCGTCGGGCGTTGAAAAAAGTGCGCCGTCTGGTCGTCGGCTTGGCTCAGGCGGCCGTGGGCCTGCACTGCCCGAAATGCCGCGCGTTCGCGAAGGATCATCGCCTCTGCCCGCACAGACGACGGCAGCGTCTGCAGGAACGCATCGTCCGATGTGACGAGGATTTCTTCGCGGAGTTCCGGGGCCAGAGAAGCTACAAAAGACGCGTTGTCCATGTCCTGCGCCAGCGAAATGTCTGGGGGGGGCGCCGTCGCCAGCTCCCACTCGCGCCGTTCATTGGCGAGAATCTCGTCGCGAATGTCGGCTGGGAGTGCGTCCAACGTGTCCTGATCGTAGCTCGACTGGAACGACGCGCCGTCCACGACGACGACGGGGGAGGACGGAGCCGCCGTGGATGGACGCGGGTTGGCTGCAATCACTTCGGCCTGCATGTCGGGTGGCAACGAGTGAAACACTTCCGGATCCATCCCGTCGGGACACACCAGTTGGGTCGTCGTGGGTTCTGCATCGACTGTATCTTCGGCAGCACGGGGGGCCACAAGCGGCGGCGGCGGCGGCGGCAACGTTCCTAAGTCCAACGTAAAGTTGAACAGGGCTGCCGCGTCGACGACGGGTGCCGGAGGTACGGGGCCACCTGTCTCTTCCACTGGTCCGTCCGCTGCCGAGGGTTCATTTGCCTCGGTGGCGGCAGGTGCGGCGGTTGTAGCTGCTTCTCCACTTGGAGGAGAGGGGGGCAACGGTTGTGGCTCGTCGTTGGAGGCCGTCGTGTCGACGGCTACTTGCGTAGGGAGATTTGGTACTTCGGGAGGGGGCGAGTCCAGCGACGATTCCCCGAGCGTGCTCGTCAAAGCCTGCACAGCGACGGATTCGTCGTCCGCCGAAGGCTGAGCAGCTTCATCATCTGGCCGCCACAGGTCGTTCAGCTCGTGCTCCATGCGCTGAACTACTTGGCGGACATGCGACTGGGGGTCGTTGTCCCACGACGATGGCGGCAACACGGTGCTGCTATGACTGCCCATTTCCGCCAGCAAACTCCGTCGAAAGGATGCGTGCATCGAGTACACGTTGTTGGGGTTGTGATGGTGGTGGTGGCGACTGGGGGGTCGTCGGGCCTGCCCCCGTCCTCCTCCTCCTCCTCCTCGTCCTTCTTGGGCGAGCAACGGATGGGTCAACCCAGCCACCGACACATTTGTTGGACCTGTTGCCGTGGTGTTTGCACGTTGTCGCATGGCGCCGCCACCTACTACACCTATGCCATTTAGAAATACATATATATGATGCGACACCGTACGTCGAAATCCGTTGGCGTGGGCTCGCTCCAATACATTCAACGGGATCGAAAACACATCGTCTTCATCTTGATCTCGCAGGTCAAACACTCTGTCATCCTCATCGTAGTCGTCGTCGTGTTGCCGGCCAAGGCGGTGGTGGGTACTACTGCTACCACGCGGGGGTCCGTCCTGTTCAAACTCTCGAAAGAGATGGCTCCACTGCGACGCCGACGGGGCCGGATGGTGGAGTCCGGGGGGATGCCGATGGAACGCAAACAGGTCCCCAATCGACCGCGGGTCGCCATCGTCGGCGGCGGCGTCGGCAGACCGTGGATGCCGAGGAGAATCACGACTGTGGCTGCTCTCTTGCGAGTCTTCGCTCTGAAATAAGCCGCCGTCATCCAACGACTCCCACAGCGGCGGATGCTGGCTAGTCGCTCCTCCTCTGTTGGGGGCATGCCAGAACTCGCCATCTTCGTCCACGGGGTCTTCTTCTTCTTCATCCCCTTCTTCGTCGTCCCCTTCTTCGTCGTCCCCTTCTTCATCATCCCCTTCTTCGTCGTTGCCAGACGAGTCACTCATACCATCTTCTTCTTCGTCATCCTCCTCCTCCTCTTCTTCAGGATTGGACATGCGAATGTCTTCGAACTCGGCACTCGACACTCGAAGTCGCGATGGTTCGTCATGGAACGTTGTCGTCGTCGCTGGATCGTCTGCCGCCGCCGCTGGATCGTCTGCCGCCGCCGCCGTCGTTAATGTTGCCTTGTCGTGCTGTTTCTTCTTCTTCAATCGATGCGCGACCCATGGGCGGGTAAGCGCCGCTAACGGACGCAGTACCATCGTCACCGTGGACCGCGCCAGCGGATGTGACAAGTCGACGCGGCGAAGCGCTTGCATCAAGAGGGCCACCACGTCCTTCTTGCCCAGCAATGCCTTGGTGTGTTCCCACATCTTGTCCTTGTCTTCGCGGGGCCACAGCACACTCATGAGCAACGCGCACCACCCGTGCAAACACGTCAGCGCGTACGATTTGTTGGTGGTGTCGTGGGTCGGCCACGCTTCGAGCAACGCCGCCACGTCCAGCAGGATCTTCTTGCACCCATCTGGGTGTGCACATAGGTGCACGAGCAGCCGATGCGCGTGGTGGACTCTGCTCTTGGCCTCGTCCTCCTTGTCGTCATCCCCCCTCAGCTTGGCGTTGAGTTCAGGGTACGGCACCATCTCCCGCATTACCTGGGACAGGAACGGCCCGTGGTCGGCCAGCAGCACCGCGCCACACGACGTCCGAAACATTGTGACTAGGTGTACGAGGAAGTAGAGGTATGTGGCGGTCGCCGGGTCTTTGGTCGCCCACAGCGACTCGACGCGGCGGACGAGCAGCGCCATGATCTTGGATGCGTGGGGGATGGGCAGCCGCGTGAGCTTCTTGGATCCGATGTCCGTGTCATCCGTGTCGTTGAGCTGTACGTACACCCGCCCGGTGGAGCTCTTCTTGACTTGGACAGTTTCTTTCAGCGCAGACAGAAACAGCTTCTCGTCGCGCATGGCCACGACACCCAAGTCGGACAGTAAATTCCGCGGCAGGATCCGCTGCGCAGACGACACGGACCCGCCGCCCAGACGAAGCGACAGCTTCTTCATGCTCTGCACAATCTTCTCCTCCATCCGAGCCTGCAGCACCTCGGGGTACTCCAACACGTGCGCGAGAATCGCCGACGTGAGCTCCTTGTACCCGTCAAACACACTTGGCGTGTTGATACACGCGTCGACGCCGTCGACAGCCACAAAGCGATCCACGAGCTCCAGGTCCCGCGTGAGCCGCACAGCCACCTGCCACACCGCGTGGGCGACGCCGGACGGCAGCGCCAGACGCATCAACCGGGCGCAGCTGTCGACCAGCTGTTGTTTCGTGGCAGGGTCGAGGGTCGCGGCAGCGGCGGTATCGTCGGCGACTGCCAGCGCGTCGAGTACGAGCAGAATCGGCGCCACACAGTCGTCGACAGAGTCCGACTGGTTTTCTACGATCTGGACCAGTCGCGCCACCGTGGCACTGGCTTGGGTCAGCAGCACCGCGCGGGATTTGCAGTCGCCGTGCACGACCAACGCCAGCACATGCGCCACCGATTCGAGGCACGACGACGACGTTGTGTTGAGGTACTGGTCAAAGCTCTGCACGATGCGGACGCGGTCTTCATCCGCCTGCGAGGCCTGCAGCACCAACAGATCCGCCACAGCCCGTGTCACACATTCGTCGGTCGACGCTGATACGACCGCCAACGGGACGCTCGCCAACGTTGCACGCAGCGCTGTATATGTTGGCACTGGGCTGGATGGCAAAGAGCCGGCGGATGCGACGTGGTTGGGGTCAACGCTTTGGGCGACAAACTCGACTTCGGGGTGCTCGAGAAGCCACTCCATGGCCATTTCCACGTCGTTGGCGCCGATTTGGCGCAGCGCGAGCTCTACATGCGACAGCGTAAACCCCATCATTTCCAGACTCGACACCACCGACGCGTCCAGCGTCAAGTCGGCGGGCGGCGCACTCGTGGGCGTCCCCCCATCCGTCGTCTTGTCCAAGCATTGCTTCAACAGGGTCGCCACCACCGGCACCACGGCCGAAACCACCTTGCCGGCGGCGGGGAGCCGCGGGTGTGTCCAAACCGGCAGCACCGCGTCCGTGGCCAGGATGTGAAACGTGGCTTTCAACCGGATGAGGTCAGTGTCTGGAAGAGCGGGCTTGGATTTCGACGACGCGATGGCCTGGACGTCGGCCAAGTGATGGAGCAGCGCCGCTCCTGCCTGGCACAGGCGCACGTCCTGTTTGGTCGGGTCGGGGAGGTCCGTTGTCACTGCGCTTGTAAACGCTTCCAGCACCCGCACCAACAACTTTTTGTCGATAAACTCGAGGGCTAGAGGCAGCAGCACCACCACCACCCCCCCTCGCTCCCGCTTGCCGTCAAACAGCAGCGCCGTGATGGTTTCCATCAAAAACACAAGGGCGCCATGGCGGATATAGCGGTCGCTAGTCGCGAGAATCGAGTCCAACGTCAGCTGTAGCACTTGCACGATCGAGTCGAGCTGGTTGTGAAGGTCACTGGAAGACGACAACTGGGTGCAAATCGTGCGGGCAAATTTGCGCTGCAGGTTGCGCACCATGAGCGAAAACTTGAGTGTCAACAGACTCGCAATCTGGCCCACCTCGCCATGGCTGCTAGTACTACTACTAGTAGTAGTACTAGTACTTGGTTCGTCGTGAGCAGTATGACGTTCCAACGCCATGCGCTCCAACTGCACCGATCGGTCGAGGGTAAACACCCGAGTGAGCACCCGCTGGCTCGACGGGGACGTAAACTCTGCCATCAACCGACGACTTTGGGAGCCACCACTGGCGTGCGGCGTCCGGATGGTCCACACAACCAGCGACACGAGCCATTCGATTTGCGCCAACTGTCGCAAATAGTCGGCGCGCACGTCGGTCGGTGGCACCTCCATCACATCGACCTGATCCAGCTCCACCACGAGCGCCGCCATGAGTTTAGCCAGCATCGCCGCAGGCTGATGACTCGCGTACGCGCGCGCCGCCAGCGTGAGGCTCTGCGATGCCGTGTAATGTGGCAGCGGCGACATCTGGTTGTACGATGTCGATACGTACGTGGACGAAGGCGGGAGGACGCGGCCGTACAGGTGCATAAGGGCATCGACCCCTCCGTTGTCGGCAAAGCGTGTGGCGTGCTCGACCTTGGCGAGCACGGGCTCCACCACGTCACAGAGATGCATGGTGAGGCGGAGCAGTGTCGCATGTGAGCACGTAGTTGCGGCGACCACCTTTTTCAACGCGCGCGTGCACGCTTCAATGCAAAACCGAGCCATCGACGGCACATGGCGCATGAGCTCGTCCAGACCGGTGGCGACGATGGACGCCACGTCCCCCTGCAGGTAGTCGATGTCGCTTACATACGTCGGCAGCGTAAACATGTCGAGAAGGTACGCGAGTGGTTCGAACGCCGCTACTTTGTCTATGTAGGTACTCGTCATGCACAGCGCCGACACGACGTTCGGGAGGGCCATCATGAGCTCGGGGCAGGGCGGGAGGATGGGGGAGCTGGCGCGGGTCACGGCGTGGAGGTCCCATCGACACGTGGACTCGAGAAAGGCATCGGCCAACCCTGTCGCATGCACGTGGTTCACACATGTAGGGTCGTTGTTGATGATATCAGCCACGAGCGTCGCAGCTTGCGAAAACACAATCGTGCCATAAACGTCCAAGTGTCGTAGAATCCGATGGAGCAGTTTATTCAACGTAGCATCTTCGCGGATGAAGCGCGGGGTCGTGCCAGCACTCATGACGCCCTGGGTATGAAATGACACGGATAGCATGTTGAGCAGCGCCACGACCAGCACGCGCGCCGAGTCGGAAGGAGATGGAACAATCTCCTGGCTTAGCCGGTCCACCAAGATGGTCACGCCGTTGAGTTCGCGGAACAAGATGGCAGCAGGTGCGTGGTTGGTCAGTGTCAATTCCAGCGCCTGGATGCACTGAACCAGCACGGACGTGTGCAGTGGACTCACAGACCGGCACGAAATCGCATGCAGGAGCGAAGGCACGACGCCGCACTCTGTCATCGTCGACGCGCCGGCGTGCAGACCTACGAGAGGACACAGCAGCCCCAAAACGTGCTCTGACCACGTCAGCCGTCGGCCCCGGGGACTCGCCACATCTCGAAAAGGACGAAGCAAAGCGGTGGTTGATTGACTGTTGTTGGTGGCTTCTACAAATGCCACCGCCAGGTCCATGTCGACGTCGTCCGCGGGGCTGGAATCGGCGGCGGCGGTGGCCTTGTCGTCCAGGACCAAGCCGCCCAGGCAGGTCCGCACGAGCGACACGAACGCGCCGGGGGTGGCACCGCGGCCGACGCCGAGGGTTGTGAGTACCGCCGACTGGCGACTCAGCACCCCCACGCCCCGCGACCGCTTGTCGTTGACGAGCGCCGTGAGGACATGCAGGGCGGCCACTTGCACCGCCAATGGAATGGACGGTTGGTCGTCCTTGTCGTCTTCTGTGGCGGGGGATTCAACGAGGTCGAGTACGGCTGCCGTGAGGTCTGGATGCTCTTCCAGGTACTGCACCACGTCATGGGCGTCTCCAAACAGCGAAAAGAGCGCCAAAAACGCTTGCAGTCGGGCCACAACGGCGGCTTCGCGGGTATGTCGATGCTCGCGCCACGCACTTGAGCGGATGCGACAGAGAAGCTTCAAGTGGTGCTTGGAGGGGACGCTGAATTGGTCGACGAGGGCGGCCAGGGTCGCTGTGGACCACGCGTCGACGGAACCATTGCCAACAAAGCGAGGGATGGCCACAGACACCAGCACGCTGTCCTGCACTTGATCGTCGAAGAGGTAGTACTGATACACGAGGGAATCGTTCGGGGAAGAAGAAGAAGGCTCGGACAAGTAATCCGCCATCGCCACGTTGCCGAGGGCGTCGGCGACGACCAACAGGCGCTTCTTCAACGTGGATGACCCCGTGAGCATGGCGTCCGATTGGTTTTGTGTGTCGATGGGGTGGCGATGGGAGTGAGGGGGCAGCGACAGCATGGCTACGACTTTGACGGCTTCAAGGCTAACGCGGTCGCTGGTGGACGCAATCAACGACGTCACGTGGTCGAGCGACGGGAACTTGTGCTTGTTGATCGAGTTCTCCAAGAGGATTGCGGTCACACGAAGCACTTGGTACGCCAAACGTTCTCGGTCCGACACTCCCCACGCAAATCGTTGGGTCGAGGAGGATGGTGGGGCGGCGGTGGTGTTCTTGCCCTCGTCGGCCAACAGTAGAGAGGTGTTGGCACCACCATCGGTGTGTGTGAGTTCCCCCAGCACGACATGGAACGCATCAAGCAGAGCACCGTAGTTCAGAAGGTCTGCTTGCCCTTCAAATGGCCAATCTGTTGTCTGCTGCAGGGCGTTGAGGAAGGCGTCCAATGTGGCGCGGACGGACGCAGCATCGCTTGATACAGTGACGGCGGGCTCCGTGACCTCCATGCCACTGGACGACGTATCGTTAACGCGTTTGCGTACACCCTCCCATGTGCTTAATATGGACTGGATGAACTTGCTTTCCCCTGGACTCGGAGGGAACCTCGGAGCTTCTGCGCCGCAGATCATGAGATGTGTCCAAGAACAGCAAATTCGCTACTAAGCCGGTAGTATTCCCAAATCCAGATATTTCAGACCACAATATGTCACCATGCATTCTGGGATCTTGTTCTTAAAGTCGCCATTTTTACATTCCAAATAGATTAAAAATGAATATCTCACCGTATATTATGTACATTATACCTAGCAAATAGTGCGGTGAGAGAGTTTCACCGAACTTATTTGCATAGTAATACTACTAGTAGTACCTCCCAATAAGCAACTGTGCGACAGAAAATAGTAGTAACGGTACTATTAGAACCTTGTCGTCGCATTCCATTTGACGGGGCGACCCCTGCTCGGCCATGCTACTACGTAGTCACACCTGTGCTTTTCATTTGCAAATGTTATTGTGTTTTCCGGTTAAACTTGCCAATTGTGAGCCATTATCAGTGTGAAAATCACCAACAAATAGCCGCGATGATTTGATTGGTTCGAATTTCGAGGATTTGGGCAGAAAATGGACATCCAACGTGTAGTCGCACTGCGGGGTGTCCAGTTGGTGTACTTGAGATGTCTGTGAGTAAATTCGGTGAGTGCGAGTGTGCTGGGGATACGGAAGGACTCGCATACGAAGCCTACGATCTCAGGTGTTAATGCTGCAAGATTGGATCGTCCCTTGACTTCCAGGAAACTGCGTCATAATAGTCGCTAATGTATGTAAACTACTCACATTTCGCACTTGCTAAAAGTCTATTGCTTGTCTCTAATATTAGAGACTTTTAGCAATAGATTGTTTTACGAGGGTGAAATCCCACTTTTTGTCATTGGCGTGATTTCGCGGACATTTGGACCGATTTAAGAATTGCCCGTGGACCTGCAGAACACTGCTGCTGTACTTTCAGTGTTAGTAAGCTACCGGTAGTAGTACTAGTACTTACACCTATTCGTACGGTACTAATATAAAATAAGTGCACAAAACACACATTCTATCCATGATTTCCTTCCCTCGCTATAGTGTTTGCAAGTGCAATTCGTCCTACAGAATTGGTTTGAGTCATGACGTGTACACCAAATCGTGTTCACTTCCCCCACCTGCAGCATCGTTAGCGCCAGCGCTTGTAGCCGTGACCGATGTGCTTCCTACTCTCTTTTTCAGTGCGATGCCCATAATGAATACAAGAGTTACAAACCTTGTCGTACAGGACTTTACATTCGCACAGGCTCGCACGGCACCGTTCCAAGTCCTGACGGGTTGTCTGCAGCATTGTGTCTATGAAGGTCGAAACACGATACGTAAGGCGTACTAACGGACGTATGAACGATGGATGGCACACCCAACTCAACATTTTGCTGCAAAAGTCGCTGGTTTTCTAGCTGCAGCGATCGCATTCGTTCGTCGTTGCAATGTATCTACATATCACACGATGTCAGCACAAAGTAATCGTTCCAAGGAACGACATGCCGCATGTACAACAGGATCGCTTAGGGACAAGTCGACGGTCGACGTCGTCCTGGTCTTCCTTGTCATGTTTACTTCTCGTGGTGCTTCAATTGACGAACGGTGTGGACTTTCCACATTGGAACTATACTCGGGGAACCAGTTGTTGGAACTCATGTCGATCACCCCGCAACTGCCATGAGCCTTAGCGTCATCGGGTGTATTGCTGTCGCCAGTGGTTGTGGATGTCACATCTGTGGCTTCCAAATCGTCGTTGTTGCCTTGATCTGTTTTCGCCTGCCTCAACTGCGCCAGCTCCTGCCTACCCATCCATGTGAATAGGCAACCACAACCATGAAATGTGAAAGCAATGGTCGACGTACTTGGCCTTATCCACTCGGTGTGCCAAGTGTCTGAGCAATGCATCGATGTTCGTTGGCCCATGCATTGGGGGACGGACTGCCAAGTAAATGGTGGTAGAGTATTGTAGCAAGTACCACATCCGGATATTTCCGGATGTGTCGTTTCGGCTGAGCATGCTTGAACCAAACACATTTCAAGTCCAACAACGGTTGAACGATGGTACCAAAGAAGCCGCGCTTGGTGCATGATCTGGAAAGTGGTGATGCCGAAGACAATACCTTGACAGTCCACTGTAATTTGTCGGTGCGTAAGCACGGCTTCGTGCTGTTTAATCTAGTGGGAAGGCCTGACGGATCTGTTGCATAGGAACGAGGGCTGACGTCCGAGTCGGCCGGCCGTGCGCTGAAAGCATTTCCACATGCCACGTCCATCGACCTCAGTCGAAATAGCCTTGGTACGAGGATGGTGAAGGCGTTTGTTGTACTCAGGACATCGTAGACCATTGCCCTCGTTTGTGGTTTCCACGGCTGGCCATGCTGAACCTGTCGATGAATCAACTTGTATCGCTAGCTTCAGTGGCATACCTTAGCCACCTCCGGTATATCTCTATGCCAATATATACATACAGATTATACCGATTTGTGCGTTTAGGATGATAGACTTGAGCTTTAATCGGCTGGACGATGTGGAGCCGTTGATGTTTTGCAACACCCTCGTGAGCGTGGATTTGCAAGGCAATCGGTGGGTATTCATACCTATTGATTTGTCAGTATTTGATGTGGTATATGGCTAGATTGACAAGTACGAAGGGTATCGAATGCCTCAAGTGCCTTGAGCGGTTGGACCTGTCGGACAACCTCATTGAACAGTATGTGGCTGCTTAAAATGGGTTGCATTTCGCCCTGCCTTTTGACGTTGTGGCCAATAATATAGGCACGACTCCGTGCGAAGTTTGTCTTTGAATGCGCTACTGTCGACACTGCATCTCCAGGTAATATCGTCACATGCAATGTACTATTGTCCAAACAGATATATATATGTTGATTTTGCAGGGAAATCCCATTGCCACAACGGTGGATTACCGCGTCCGACTTCTCGATCTCGTACAACTTATCATATGTTGAATTTAATGTTTCATTCAAAGCCTCATTGGTGTTCACAGGTCCCGCAAGTATCGGTGCTTGATGGCAAACGGTAGGTTCAAACCCAGGGGCACTTGACTAGCCATGACAACCCCATTCACATAGTCAAAGTCGCCAGCACTTTCGCTGCCTAGGGGGCCACGACACGACATCTTATGGTATAAAACCAATCTAGTACGCCTTGAGTACAGTATGATAGTCTTTCGGTAGTGCACATGTACCATGCAAAGAAACAGTTCCGAAGTTTGCAACCGAATCATGGCCCAAGAGTGTCTATGTCAGCTGCCACCATCCCCCGCCAACCACCCGACTTGACCAGCTTTCATCCCCGCAACTTGGACTCCAACCACCTCGACTCGGATACCAATGACGACGCGGCCACTGTGGCAGACACCGTAAGCTAAGACCCAAATTGAACCGACGGATAAGACTATCACGGTTTCTAGTTGAATCGAGTGTCGGTGAAGTCACCCCGGCTTCGGGCCTCGACCTCCGGCCACCACAACCCAGTGCACGCGGGGTATTGCCCCAAGAGCCTACGCCCGGTGCCTTCCATCCCCCCCAGCTTAAAAATGGAAAAACACAAGCGTCACATACAAAAGACACACCACCAAACGACAGACATGCGAGGCTACGTGAGCTTGTTTGAGCGTGTGGCCGTGTCGAGTGGAGTGACATTGGCCGACGACAAGCCAACGAAAAAACGCGGTACACCGGCGCCGCCTCCAGTCGCGACGTTGGCCAAATCGCATCAAACGATGGGCAAACGCAAGAATGTAATTTCACCGCCCAAGGTCAAGGTGCAAAAGACCCCTCCACCCAGCGGACTCTTGGCAAGACGACAGCTGCACTTTGACACACGCCGCCCAACGACCGCTGCCGCGCGCACAGACGATCCCATTGGACTCAATGCGTCCCAGATCAAAGTGCTCGGGGTGATCCAAGGCCTCATCCAACACAAGCGACAAACGCTGGCGTCCCTCCACTCGTCCACCCTCCATAGTTGATGACGTTAGGTTGGTATTTATACTGTACTGTGGCTTATGACAAGTCAAAGCGGATGGTATCGCTTTAAACCTATGGGAAAGACTCAAGTTCACTTGTAATTAACAAGACGAGGACGTTGATCACTGGCGTGATATGATAGCGCAGCTACCCAAAATTTGTATCAAATCGACAATAGAAGTCGATTTGATAAAATTATTTTTTTACCCCGTTGAACTTTTACCTTACCTTGCCGAGGACAGGTTTTCAAAATATATCTCGGCCAACGATTGGCCAATGATAGTTCCGAAATATATGCGAGGCTATTTGACGGCTATTTCTGCACTTGCATTGTGGTAGCGCGTATTAGAAGGGAGGGGAGGTACACTCACCGTCGTTTCACATCAGCTCGAAATTGTATCTCGAAATTGTGCGCGCCATAATACGGTTTTTACACGACCGGCACCCGGTTACAGGGCTTTGTGCAAGACGAGCGTCGGGCAAATTCCATTTCCATCGAGATTTTGAGATTTCGTCAATACAAATTTCAAGATATTAGAAATTATGTACCTCGAAGTAATACATATCGAATTTGCACAACACACGTCATGCTGTATGCCAAGCATTTCTATTGGCTATAATGTGCCAAACCGCAAAGGTGACCAAACACGAGCTAAACTCGACAGTTTGGTGATATAAATACACTTCGAATTTCTACTCAATTTAGCGGTTGACTCTACTACTTCTGAATGCTCTCAACACTCGCGACATACTTACATAAAAAGGGATGTTGAAAACCCGTTCGACAACAGTCTTGTGGACATTTACCGTGCAGCTCGCAATGCACGCTAACGTTAAATTACCGATGTGTGGCCACACAAGTGTGATCAAACTGTACCGGTAGAAATTTGAGCAGCATTAAGTATTTTACGTGAAAGCAAGCGGTCTTGTGCGAAAGACAGAAACGCAGTATAGTGCCGTGATGATTCCTAGAATGGAGGCTCTATGTAAGCGCATAAGAGATATGCGGTATCGACTTCAATACGTGTCTTCTAGACATATACACTTAAGTGTACTAACGTTAGCCGCGATATGCACCTTGATTTTGCACTGTAGGGGATCGCGCCGGTCGACGCTCAATTGAAATCAATTGGCCAATCAAATCCAAGTTATTTAGTATTTTGACCAATCAGTATATGTACGATGACGCTCGTGCAAATTCCAATTCCAATACAATAATTGCAATTTTGTTGTCAATAGTGTAGTTAAACCAAATACGTTAAATACCGATTTCATGCGTATTATCACTGCAGTGGAGTTGGAAGTTTTTAGATGACGTGCATCATACCAGGGATTATTTTGCTAAGTTCCGGAGTTTTCCCCGACTCTACAAATATTCAGAGGTTACTTTATGGATAAAGATAAATACTCCTCTCCGAAATCTCCCTAATGTTTAGAAAATGATGTTAGTACTTTAGCGTAGACAATGAATTTAAGACGCATGACTCAATTTAAGATCAATGTGCAAGAACCAATCAAATGTCACCAAAATTAAGTAGCAAAAACCTTAGGTTACAACGTTATGCCCCCTATAATTCGTTTAGAATACATAATGTGTCCAAATCGATTTTACTTTTAATACTTCTATACTTTTACATCATAAAAACAAAATTTGTAAGCAAAATGGCATAATCCGGAGTACTTGATTAAGACAACAACATTCACACTAACAGTAAATACTACATAGTAAATTGCCAAGGGTAGATCATATTTGATTGAATTTTCTCGATTTACTCTTGGTATACAACTGCAAAACACAATATTTTGTATATGTGGTTGTGCGCCATTAAATCAGGCAAGTTACAATCTCCTAGTTTGAGAAGTCGAAAATGTTGTATGACCGTGGAGATTTGGAAGTTGCCTTCTAACGATGCATCATAAATTGATTGTTTCCGTTACGGGAGATGCAGAACTGGCGAAAACTCATCATAACACGAAGTTATAGCGAGGCATTTCTGGTTGGCGAAAGCAATATATGGGGTTTCTTTGCAGTTATCCAACTTGTTGGAGTGGGACATTGGCTGCTGTACTGACACGATTTCTACCGCTCACTGCAAGTGCGGTTCCTTGCATTCAGAATTGCGCGCCGTTTCACTTTGAAAACAGAGCTGTTCCGGATATTTCATTATTTTTGCGGATGCAATATTTTTATTGCGGATGTGCATGTTTTTTTTGTACTCGACGACATGTCGACATGCGCATAACTTATATCGAAAATGGACGAACTTTGATTACGCTTTTCTCGAGCCTTGTAATACCTACAGCAATACTACTCGTACTACTGGATAGTCCATTACTATACGTATAGATCAGCCTATGCAACATGGCTGTGCATACACAGCTCTCTCTGACATGGGGCATCTTACCCTCATGTCAGATATAGTAGATACTAGTTTTATCCGTATATTTCGGATAACCGATTGGATGACTGCCAAATATCTCGCAAAACAAATTTTCTTCCGGTTGAATCTGAGACATTTTTGAAATAGAACCACGCTCGCATTTTGTGAAGTCGAAAAAATCGTCTTCGCAAACATTGCATTTGCGAGCGAACCTCTCGCATCGACACTGTAAAATTTGATATGATCGAAATACATTTTCAAAGGCTTTGGCATCGTGCACAAATTTTCTCGCAATCTCACCGGGTAACGAAGGCAGGTCGAGCCAAGTCGTGGAGTGCCTCGATTGCCACCCATCGACGTCGGTTAAAAAAATACACGTTATCCGGACTCGCAAATTTGTTTGCGAGAGGCACTTGCGAGATATTTGGCAGTCACCCATTGCATTTGTAAACCAACAAGCGTCGGCGACAAATACTAATTCCTCGTTCGACATGGCAACTACCAAGTGCAGCACAAGGATTTTTTCACTCGAAAGGATTAATTCGTAGAATGTCATTTGAATACCATAACGTTATTTCCCTCATCTCCCAGGAAAGGCGCGATGCAGGTCAGCGATTTCTTAATGCATACTACACAATGGGTCACGAAACACTCCAATACTCGTAACAACAAACAATACTATCAAGAACACTTTATTTCATGTCGCCTGAATCAACAACTGCAGAGAAAGACAACTTCGAACTTACCAAATTCGTCGTATTTCAAGAACAAGCGTGTACACAACATACTAGCAAACATTCATGAAGATTCACGAATATTCGAATCATCGCCGAATTCAAAATTTGCGATCTTTGAGCAGTATAAACCCATCCGCTCTGATTTGAATGGATCTTGTTAGACCGCACTATCAGCATATCGCTATATATAAATTCTTTGAAATGTAGATGGATGTACAGTAGGCTGTTGAATCTGACATCCAAAACACGAATTCAGAGCAAAAAACGACGAATTCTTTGTTTTGGGTTCTCTCTCATTGGTTCAAATCAGCATTCGATGAGAATTGCAACATGGATATCTGAACCCTGTGCAGTGAAGAATATGCTGGCGCAATATCCTCATTGAAACGTCTGTATTTGCGGATTTATGGTCCTTTCTACAGGACATTCGGGATCTACAAATGGTATTCGCCATAATTGGATTTCATCTAGTATTAATAGTTTGAAATTATCTGTAGTAAGTTACTATTAATAGCACTTTTATTTTACTTCATTAAAAAATTGTACTATAATAGTATTCGATTTGTGCCTTAAAATATGCACTATTGACATCGACATCACAACTATCCGGATAAGTCAGCAAGCGGTCAAGCATTTGGTTCTAAGTGTTGATCCGGTAAAACAGCATGCGAATGATCGATTCGCCTTGTCGAGATCTATCGTTTCAATTTGAATCAAATCAATTTGATTTATAGGACACACCACAAGATTAGATTTCGTGAGAATTCACTGTCAATACAATGATCTACAAAAATGTCAATTATAACACAGTGTTCATTATAATTATGTAAACTCTCAATTGCTCGTTGAATTGGCGTCAGTGCATGGAAGCTCCTTTGGGATACCATACCGAATATGTAGCGATACCCCATTCTCACTTGCCCATCTCATTGTGCAGATCGAATCAGTGTCTTCTTCATGCGTTTGATTCCAGGCTGTGGCACCAAGATTGTTCTGAACTTCGTTGACCATTTGACGAGGACTTATTTAGGAACTAACGTTATCGCTAACCACTGAGACGCACTAAGCCCCAACTAAGACGACTTTTTTTAGGTGGTCAGAGAATACGGAGTCCCATATACTACTTCGTAGTAAACAGCAATTTCTGAGAAAACAAACGAATTGTTTTAATAGGGGTCACTCGTCAGAAGAAGGGCTAAACTGTCTCCAATCCACAGATCCGATGTATTAGATAAGGTAATTTTAATTCCACTTAAAACAAGTGAAATCGTCGACCAAAACATAACTTTTCCAACTTTAAAGTGGCCACGTGTGGTGCTTTGTCCTGGAGTTTGTTAGTAGCAAGTGGTTAGAAACAGCTAACCACTTGCAACACACAAACCCAACGTGGGAAGGAGTCTGGTACCGTACTGTACATCAACATTCATTGGTACCCACGTTATTTTTATCGAGTACATCTGATCTGTGGATTGGAGACTTTTTAAGCTAACTATAAGTTACTTATCCTCTCGTCAAAGGCTGTGATTCCAAAGAAACGCATGTCGAGGCCTAAAATCAAAGTAAAGCTGTAATTAGGCTCGCACTGGTACACTGTACATTTTCAGTATGGTAAGGTTAGCAGTACTGTATTAGTACGTTGAATTGGTTTCCCAACGCGACGTGCATACTAGTTAGTACCAGGCCTTTGGAACGCATTTGTAGTGTAGTACAATACAGTGTACTGTGCAGTACTAGTACGACACTGCAGTATTACTAGTACAGAACATACAGTAGTACAGTACTGTACGGCTTGAGTGACTTTACTGTGGTGCGACACATCGTGAAATCGTCACCCACACTGTACACTGTTCTTACGGGATCCTTGTTTTGCGTCAAGTTTCGGACATGAACACCAATTCTAGGGGATGCTCCAAATTAAATGGAATTTTACAACCCAACGACAGGAGAATGGACTCACAAGATGACAAATCCTTGTCAGTTGGTTCTCTCCAACTGAAAAGGACAAGGATCTGAAACGCCAAGCTTGGCCATGCACTTCAGTCCACGCGTAGGTTATCATTCAGTACTTACACAAACCTTGCGTCAGTTTTCTTCCGCATTGAAGGTAGAGGCGCAAGTTTGGCATGGTGTTAGCGACGAGGCGTTGGACTGGCGGGCTTTGATTGGCCATAAACTGCTAAATGCGTATGTGAATGCCAGCAACGTTACACATGCGATTTAAATAAATACTATTAATGACGATACAAATCCAAAGTATAATTCCATGAGTGGCATCAAATAATATTTGCCTTGGCTGTCTCGCCTCTGCCAGTATTGAATTGCCATCTCAACACACCCACATGCGCGTCGCGGCATGTACCTACGCCGCTCTTGTGGCGTCGGCCATGGCGGCTCTCGACACCAACACGGACTCGAAGGGCGACATTCTGCCAGTTCCCGAAGACGAAGGGGATTTCTGGAACACGGACAACTTCGACCAACTGTTCAAATTCTTCCTCGCTGCCGAAACACCAGCACCGACCACGGGTAGACCTGCACCTGCGACCACTGTCAAGGAAGTCACTAGTGCTGCGTCTGTGACCACTGCTGCGCGTGTCGCTACTCCAGCCCTGACTACTACTTTGGCGCCTGTAACTACGGCTGTCTCTGTCACTACTACCCCTGCACTAACCACTCCTGCACATGTGACCACTGACGTTCCGGTGACCACTACTGCCCCTGCGACCAAGGTTGTGCCTGTGACTACCGCTGCCCCTGCTTCCACCCCTGCACCAACCACTCCTGCACCAGTGACCACTGACGTGCCAGTCACTACAGCTTCGCCTGTGACTACCGCAGCCCCTTTCACGACTCTCACTGAAGTTCCTATCACTACAGCTGCACCTGTAACCACTACTGCCCCTGTGACCACTGAAGCTCCTATCACTACAGCTGCTCCTGTGACCACTGAAGTTCCTGTCACTGCAGCTCCACCAACCACTGCTGCGCCTGTGACCACTGAAGTTCCTATCAATACAGCTGCACCTGTAACCACTGCTGCGCC